CATGAAGCAAGCTTCCACCAGATCGCAAAATCATGGACGTCATTTTAGAAATGCAGTGATCATGTTGTCCATCCCCGTCTTACCTTTTAGTATATCAAATCAATAGCACAGCTGTAGCTGTAGCTACATTTGCACAACTATAGTACTTGCTGATTCTGTCACCTATAAACCAGAAGCCATTACCCAAGTAACACAGTATGTTGATGGAACGTTTTTGAAATGTTGCCAATGTTGCAAGTTGATGTACAACATTGATAAAACATAGCTTCAACGTTTTTCACTTTTGAACACTTGGATAGTTGCTGAGACACTTCTACGAATGATATTGCAACATTTTCTATCAATATTGAAAGAATGCTGACACTGTTGACATTGACAACGCAGCGACAACATTCTGATACAAAATGCACTTAAAAGTTTTAAGGAATTATAAAGTTATCCTCCGGGCCACTAGTTGGAGGCGTAGGTCTCGCTTCTCGAACTGTGCACTAAAGTATCCTTCTCTCTTTCCCTGGAATCGTCTCTCATAGGAGTGCTTAGTACCTTGCCATATGTCTCGCCTAGTCTCTTTATAGGAATCAATGAACACGGACACTTCATCATTTGTTATCCCCATATTCGAGACAGATTCATGGAACCCATGCCAAAAACAAGTTCATATTCCCGAAAAAAAACCCTTTCTAAGCTCAAAGAGATACCATCCTCCAAGATATTAAGAAAACGATAGTAGAGAGGCTCACTCCTACATTCAAAAATTGTTTTCTGAAAGTTTATTGTACCTAGGTTGTCTGAATAAAAATCGACTGTCGTTCAAAGTCATAAAATGCACCTTTTCCGCGCACGATGTGGATGGATTTTCAGCAATGCTTCAAAGATTTTTCTCCCTTGACGCCATAAATTACTGTTTGTTCCAGTGTTTCACTAGTTTTGAATACCCGCCTCATAAAACGTATTCTCTTGGGCGTACAGCCTACGACGTGCTACTGTTAACAGGGCCAGCTCCGACCTGGCCCATCCAGACTTTCATCTTATAATACGCCATAATGCCAGTTTTCATCGTAGTATTCTGCGTAGCATCGATTCTGATGCTACGACGCACGACAGTAGTACTATTCTACGACTACGACGTAGTATTCTACTACGACGAGGACATAGTGTAAATATCAGTCTTTATGGCGTCAAATGAGAGAAATTATACAAGCAATGCTGAAACTCCATTAGCCTCATGAGCGGGAAAGGTACATTTGATGACTTTGAACGACTGTCGATTTTTATTCAGACAACCTAGGTACGTGAAACTTTCAGAAATTTTGTGGTGTTTCCAATGTGATACGAAAACATCACGAACCTAGGTCATCCACGGCGGGTTTTATAAAGAACCAAACAGGACGCTGTTTTGGGAGGCCATCCAGTATTTGCATTCCAGTGAGTGTTTAATTCGTGAGAACCAAGTGCGCGTCTATTTTTAATCGCGAATATCGCGAAAGTAAAGGGTTGTACAGTATTTAGTAATGTCTAGCTCATAAATGATGAATTTGGATCCAGATTCCAGTCAGGCTCTGAAAATGAAGGCCTTCGCTCAAATTTCAAGGTCATTCGCATGGAAATGAATTCTTTCTCTCGATTTCACAGTGAGAAGTGCATTCGGATGCAGCGAAGCCCAAATGAGGATGACACCTGGAGAGCATGGCTCGGCAGGTTTTTCAATGTTTCGTGCCCTCTCGGGCGATTCTGATGCCTTCGCTTTTAACTTACTTGCTTTTGAGGGTGTCATTCTGCATGATTCCACTTTGGTTTGTCGAGAAGAGCTTAAACTTATGGTTTCCTTTGCAAATATATATTTTTATTTATTGAACATTTACATTTTTTCCCACGTTACGGAACGGTCACATCTCCATACGTCCTCACGAACTTCATTTGTCCGTATAGGTAATTGCAATAGCCGGTGGTAGATGCTCGTATTTTCACATATTGGACTTTTCGAGCGTCCCAGCCATGCACTTCATTCGTGAACGTAACTTTTGTCTATGCGTAAACTCTTGGTTTCCTTAGTTTTTTTTCGGATTAAAAGACTCGGAAATATTGCAATCTTTGACTTTTGATTTTGGAGAGGGAAACAACGATACAACAGATCAAGGAAAAGCCTAGATTTTCAATGACACGGATGGGGTAGAGTAACCAGTCTTTCAGTACTTGGCACTAAAAACATGCTGCAGTCGAAGTCATTCGTGCCTCAAAGCATCCTACCGAAGTTATCTTTATGTACCTTTCCACTCTTTCAGTATCGACACTATACTACATATTTCCTGTGATTTTCCAATGCTAACATTTGGGAATAACGTTTCTTGCGATTACAGGTGAGAGGTGACGGAGAGGCGCCGACTAGCGCTCTGGGACTTATTGGAAAACCCATTTTCGGCAAATTTTATGGAGAATCGGTGCTCACAGGAGGTAAAGGGCGCCATACTGCTTAAGTATGGAGATTATTCCGGCTATTCCGAGAACTGTTCCCATAAGTAAGCAGGTTCATTCACATACAACACAAGGGCCTCATTAGACCTGACGGATTTCTCACGCTGCTCGAGCAGGGATAAGTGAAAGCCTGCTCATCGGCTTGAGATGGAGTTAGTGGGCGGCTAGATTCATCTCGCCCCTTCCGAGGATTTTCTGCCGAGGCTGATCGAAGCATACCTCGTTTGCTCAAATCCGTTTAGCCATTCGGCGAAAATATCTTAGAGGTTCCTGGTGCTAGCCCAGAAATTGTGAGCCGTGACAGAAAGAAGTGCCACATTCCTTCGAGGCCATCGAATAGTTTCTGATATAAAGGTGCCTTTCCTCACCTAACGAAATCGAAATCTCACTTCCTAAGGCAACATTTCATGCTGATGCCATAGTTGTGCAAGAGCGTGCTCACGACGAGAGGAGACATTAAGCGCAGCGCTGAGCTGTTACTGAAGCACTCCGCGCATGATATAAAACACGGTATACCGGATCAATTAATGGAATTTGCTGTGAGATTAGGTTCGGCGGCCTTCGTCGGAATCTTGAGTTTAGACAGGTGCCCAAAGTTTCCGGATCGGGCAGCTCTCGCCATCTACTGTATGTTCAGAGAATGGATCTCTTCATTCCGAACGCTTTGCCTCGGAGAAAATGCAGCACGTTTTCCCTCAGGACTCGACGTTTCCGGGCGGACAAGTGTTGTTCCAGATCTCTTTTGCACAAGTCTTCAAATTGTCTAGACTGACCGCTCATTAAAATTGAGTCAGGAAATGTCTTCCACAGACGTGTGCCATCTGGAAAACGCCGCTGCGAAACGAGGAATGGAAAGGAATTTAATGAGTTTATTTTCCTCTTCACACTTTCTCATCTGGGTTATTTACCGTGTGGTAGCCAGAGGTGTTCTTCCCGCGACTTACGGTTTTTACTCTTGAACCACGCCGATAGATGGCGATGTGTAAACGAGAAGGACTCGAGGACTCGTCTGAAGAAATTTCTTCAGAAAAGGATCGTAACGACAGCTCGGTTCGCCGGAAGAGGATTTCTGGAGTAAAACGTTCGGAACGAAGTGGCATTCACCCTTCGACATACGTAATTGGATGGCTCAGTAAGAGGGGAGAAGAGGAAACCCTCGGGGGGAAGGAAGTCAGGAATTGAAACGACGAAAGGGAAACCGAGCGTGACTGCATGGAATTCATTTCTGTCCGCGTTCGACCTCACGGTCAAGGTCGATCTGGTATAGTAGCGAGGAAAGGCGTGACCCTCTTGCCGAGCATTATTGTCTGGAAGAGAGAGAGAAGAAAATCGGAGGAGTGGCCTTGAGAATGCGCAGCGCACTGGGGTGCATGGGGCTCTCCCGTGTTTGGATTGGGTACGGGAGAAGAAAACGAAGGAGAAAAGAGCACTCCCAGACTCGCTCCTTTCCCAGTCGCAGTCTCTCTTCGGTACCTTGTGGAAACGCACCATCGTCTATGGTGATACCGTAAGTCTATTTGTGGGACCTCTTGTGTTTACACGGTTGATAAGATAAATAGACGTTGCCTCCAGTCGATTCTTTACCGTATCGTGGGCGGTATCGACTGCTTCGAGAGCGCATTAACGACAAATCTTTACTTCAGCCAGGAGGCTTTTCAATAAGAACGGCATCGCTTTTCCTTGAAAATTTGTTAGCTTTGCGTTATAATACAAAAACGTATATACCCCCCCCCCCCCGGCGTGGTATGCGCGTTTCTAACCGCACCCCCTTGGTTTGCGGCCATAGGCGCGCCACCACTATGGCCACTTGGAGGTTAACCATTTAGCTGCGGCTGTCCAGCAGCAGTGCTGCTGCCCAGTATACTGGTCCACTCCGACAGGCAGCGCACCGAAAACTCAGCACTGGGGGTGTGGCCGGCCAATTAAACTCAGCAGTCCAAGGGTTAATGACCCTCTCCCTGACAACGACTCTCTGACTGTCATACAGCTGCATTTTTTTAATATGCGGAAAGCACAAGTTCGCAGCAGAAATAACCATGGTATACCTCTACTTTGCAATCGAGTCTCAATCATCCATATTTGATGAGCGATTAAGCTTTAAATTGTTCCAATTCCTATTCTTTCATGATTTCCTAAGCGTGATTGATGCCTATGATAGTAAGAATACGCTATATTTCGCACCTCTGTTCGCACTTTATCTGCAATGACGCCAATGCTCATATCCTATGCTGTGGGACAGGAAGAATTAAAGCTTCGGTCGCTCACCGATAACAGAAGCGATGATTTAAGCCAGCGAATGGAGGAAATTTCAAGCTCTCGTCGACAATCTTACGAGGGAACGTCGGAAAATATGGTCAATCCAATTGTTTTCGCAAATTGCATCCAAAAAATGTGCATATACAGATGGAAATACGTGTCTTTCGCCACTTCTCGAGATATTCACCATACACGTTCAGACGTTTGTTCCAGCGTTTCACTTGTTTACGAATATCCGTCTCATAAAATGTGTTATCTTGGGCGTACACCCAATGACATACCACTGTTTGCACGTCCTCGCCTCAGTGAAAATGGTGGCCGGTGAGACTCCGCTTCAACGGCGCAAAAAGATGAAAGTCTGGATGGGCCAGGTCGGAGCTGGCCCTGTTAACAGTAGCACGTCGTAGGCTGTACGCCCAAGAGAATACGTTTTATGAGGCGGGTATTCAAAACTAGTGAAACACTGGAACAAACGCCTGAACACGTACGCTGAATATCTCGAGAAGTAGCAAAAGACATGTACTTTCATCTGTATTTGCCTATTTATTTTGGGTGCAATACAGTATCTGTGTTTGACCTTATTTTCCGACTTTCCCTCGTATGTTGCTATTTTGAGCAATCCTTTCTATATTTTCTCCGTGCTCAGGTTAAATGCTTCAATTCCGTATGTAATCCACATGCCTGTAGCAAGAAGAGCTTTTTGGAATCCAGAGGATCTGTCTGTCACAGATCTGTTTATGCACGCCTTGCATAAAGAGAGGCATCCTCTGTCGGAATTGTTTTCATGGTCCTTATCTTGCGGATGCCCTTGAAGAGTGAGAAGAGAGAGGGAGAGAGAAACATAGATATTCATTTACTGCTCAGGTGTGAGCGAGGGAGAGGTGTCCACAAGTGTCTTGTGCTTCATCTTGCACCCAACTGATTCCAAGATGAAACCCAAATCCTTCATGAAAGTCCCCGGCAGCTCTATCTCACTCAAGATCAACGGCAAGGAGTACCTCGGTGAGTATTTTTGTTGTTGTCATGGCTTAACATTGCAAGATGGCGCTTACTCATCCGGTATGTTGTACCGTGCATTCTCATAGCCTGCAGAAGCTTCTTTTCCAAACAGTTGTAAGAGAAGCTTGTTTATCATGGACCTAGACGCTCGATGACTCGGATCGGTCCCATCGAGCCAATCTGCATCCCGGCAGAACTCAAAATCATTCTCTAATCTTCATCGAAATTAGAACGACGGGGCTCACTTGAAGGCTACGGAGCGGAACTCGCTGAAAATTTGCATACAGGCGATTGGGGTTTCCCTAATGACGGAACGCATCCACTATTATCGATCGAAAGCCTGTCTGCTTGAAATGAGAAAGTTGTGTCTCTTTAATATGCTACAAGATGGAACTCACAGGAAATTGTTATATAAGGGAAATTGGGAGTCTTTCAGATGACCGGAACCATCCCTCCTCCGTTTCATTCCTAGGTCCCACAATTCTTCGGTGTGTCTTATTTGAATACCATGGAAGCTATAACCTGGAGGCGATACCTATTGGGTCAAAAGTAAAAAATAAAAACTTACCATTTTGAAGTAATTGGGCCGAATTGCATCGATAAGAATATCATCGTGCTGATTGCCAAACTGCTCACAACCAACAATGAGAGTACGAGGCATTGTTGGCTACGGACGTTGTTGCTATGGCAACTGCTGCCGGTGATCTTTCGAGTTTTGTCATGTCACCAGTCCCGTCGCCGGTTTACCACATTGCTTCACGTAAGTCTGCAGCATCCAGTTAACACTATATGTTACTATTTTGAATCATGGTGTTGCTCTCAAAATGCCAGGAAAAAGGCAGGGAAGTTTAAACCATTCCGAGGCGCAATCCTCTGTGGAGTCAGCCGATGAAAGAGCAGAAGAGCGGGCACGAAGTGCTGCTTCGTAGGCTGCTTCCACGGGCTTTTACACTAGTGGAGAATAACGTGGGAAGAATTCTCTGCATTTGTGCTTAAACGCGTTACGAGCTGCAGAATCATTATTTTCCTTGGTTGATAACACGCTGTTGCAGTTGACACTTGCGCACCACACAATCTGCGGAGTCCGTTTCTCACCATTATCCGGTTCAGGTTTTTCGTGGAGCCTCCACACAGCTGGAAATAGAAACTCGCTAATGACCCACTGCCACTGCAAGAGCAGCTTTAAAAGAGAAAGTGACCATTCAAGAATATGACGCCATGATCCTGGAAAAAATAGCCGATCGAGCCACCGATGTCATTTACATATTATTGCATTATACCAAAAGCTGTTGCGAGCCAACGTGGCCTTTAACATCGAATGAGTCTGCCTCATCTCATCCCAAGTACGCATTGGGGGTGTGGTTTGTCCTATCCATATAATTTCCTATCGCGACCATATCCATCATCATATCCTTAATCGAGCAGGAGGAAGGACCGGATCAATAATAACAGGGGTCGTTGCCAGGTCAAGTGAGGGCGTCAAATACTTTCATCGTGGCGAGTTATCGCTGATGTTTGTGGTAATTGCAGGAAAGTGGAGGGCTTAATTTAGAGAGTTTTTGCAGTGTAGAAAAACTCAAATCCATCTCCTCTCAGAGGATTCGTAAGGGATCGATGTGAGGCTGTTATTAATGTCATCATCATTCAACGCACCTTTTTCAAGGTCTCAACTTCTGTCATTAGTTCAAATCTTAGTCTGTACTTTAGCTACAGTCATTGCTTAATTTGAACCGGGCTCCGAGCTCATCTGGGCTAGTTTGAGCTCCGGTGTCTCGAAGTCTTGCGTGTTTTATTATTTTGAACATGGTGTCAAAATATTCGACAAGAAACTGACGGCGGTTTTGATTTGCTGGAAAATTGAGATTTCGATAAAATATTGCAGCAACATAAAAACTATACCTACAGTATACATATACTGTTACTTCGTTTCCTAGAAATTATGTACTGCTTACAGTATTCGTTCTCATCGACAGTGTTTTGATTGTGGCTATAATTCAAAAGTTCGCCCTTCTCTTAAAAGTCAGACTCTTGCCAGATTCTTGTGTGAAGAGTGCGTTAAGGAGAGGCCTTTGCTTGAAGGGAATAAAAGAAATAGCGTGAGGAAGTACCTACTGTATACTACAGCATGCAAAAAGCCTTGATACTAAATAAGCGAAAAAGGCACACGAAACCGCTCTCTTTTCACCTACCGGGATCCGGATGGATAGAAGAGTGAAGAATGAGTGTAACATACGAAGCAAGCAATCACTCTCCAACCAGTTACTCAATTGGAGAAGTGCTCGGTTGCGAGAGAAGTGAATCGAGGTTATGAAGCTCGAGATTATGATGTTCCGAGAGGGCTCTTGCTCTTGCTCTGCAGGTCTTCTAAGTTCTACGGTATCCGGCAAAAAATTCCAGCCGGAAATATGACTGGTTTTACTCGGTTTGTAATGGACTACAGCTGGATTGCCATGCAGGAAACGTCACTGGTTCCAATTGGGAATTAGAGAACAGGCATTTTCCGACTGGAGAAGCTGAGATCCGGCAGAATGCAGCATGAATTTCTGGCTGGATCCTGTTGGTTCATTCCAGCTGGAAACGGCATCCCAATTTACAAAGATTCTGGTGAAAATGCTGCAGTTCCTGCTGGAAGCGGCTCACATTTACAGATGGAAAGCTTGTTGTTTCTACCTGGAACTTTTTTGCTGGATACAGTCGACAATGAAAAAGATCGTAATACAAGCTCTCAATTTCATGAATATTCACTGTCATCGCGTCTCTCATATGAGGATGTGTTGCTTGTGGGCGAGCAGTTGACAACAGCCTGGATGCAGACACGAGCCTGAACGATTTCATTCGCGATGGAGCGGGTCTGAAGGGGACGAAAGTGATGTGCCGGGAGGGTGGCTGCGGGTGCTGCGTCGTGGGTGTGAGGACGTTTAACCCCCATTCCAACACCTACCAGCCCCTTCGAGCTCTCAGTTCCTGCCTCGTCCCCATCTACGCCTGCGACAAGTGGGATGTCGTGACCGTGGAAGGGCTGGGGAGCTGCAAGACCGGCTACCATGCCGTCCAGCAGCGGCTGGCCGACTTCAACGGTACACAATGTGGATACTGCTCTTCTGGCATGGTCATGAACATGTACAGGTCAGTGAAATCACTCGTGACGTGACAAGTCGATATTCAACTCCTTACAACGCTCGACATTTATCTATTAGTTTTTAGTACGTTCTTCCAAATCTTGGGGGAGTTGATCCAGTTCGAAGAATCACTTATAAATTTTCACGGCTACGAATAGAGCACCGATATAGAGCAGCCGTAAGCCCCCTTTGCAATAAAGAAAATCACAAAATCATAGTAAAATGATCGAAATTACGTTGAAATGCTTGAAATATCAGCTGCCGGGAAAATTACAAAAAAAGAGAGTTGGAGTGAATTAGATTTGGATGATGGCAGCCTCATGAGTGGGGGAGGAGAGAAGCTGACGATGCAGAAGGTGGAGGATTCTTTCGATGGAAACATCTGTCGTTGCACTGGATACAGGCCGATCTTGGATGCGTTCAAGTCTTTCGCCGAAGATGCAACTCCGGAACTCCAGCAGAAAGTGGCCGACATCGAGGTCCTTTTTTTCTCTCGCTCTCCCCTACGCATTCATCACTGTCTCCAGTGATAGAAGCCGAGAGCAAACACTCCTGTTCCAGGAAGCCTGGAAGGGAATGGGGATGTGTCCCCGGACAGGTGAAGTCTGTGACTGCAAGGATGATGAAGCACGGGGATCTTCCTCGGGACCTGAACCTTATGTCCATTTGGTCCTTTCCGGGTCGGAATGGTATCGGATCACCGATCTCTCTGGTCTTTACAACATTCTCGACTCTCATCGAAGCGAGAAGGTCCGCCTTGTCCTCGGCAACACTGGAGTCGGTGAGTTTGTCCAAAATTATTTCCCGGAGTCACGTAATAGCACGGGACAAAGAATTCCCAACATGCTCCATTTGTGGGTATTCTTCAGATTTTCCTTTCTGTGATGTGGACAGTAGACAGTCAAAAAATGAATCTCATTTTCATGCTTTTCTTTCTGTAACTAATTACTTTTTTCCTAAAAACTTATTGACAATCTCAAAACTTCGAAGAGACAAATATTGTAGGAAAATTATTTTCCTATGCTTACAAATTCGCCATACAAAGAGAAACGTTGAGGACTTAATATTCTAGGTGTTTACAAGAATGACGGGCCGTATGTGACCTATGTGGACCTGTCAGGAATTGGGGACCTCTTCTCCTATTCCCTGAAAGCCAGACCAATGGAATTCGGGGCTGGCCTCTCCCTCACGAAGATGATTCAACTCCTGGATGAAGCCTCGCAAGACAATGCTTATTCTTATGCCGCTGTCCTTGCTAAGCACATCCGCAAGATCGCCAATGTCCCCGTCCGAAATGTATGTCATGTCTCAAACGCGTGGGCAGGAGGAAGCTAGAAACGGATGAATCCGCGTTGTGCAAGGAAAGAAAAACTAATGAAATGTTTTATATTTTCATAAGTAAACGTTATTATTTGCTTATAATTGCAAAAATAATCATGCGTAAAATAAAAAATGCGACTTCAATACCAATTCACGTTTATAATTGCAGAAAAGGTCATCTTTTATTGTAGTTCTATCGCCTCATGCATTCCAACTCGATGAAAAACTAGCTTTTAAACTGTAGAGGACTTGTATCCCAACGGAAAGGGAGGGAGTTGGGGTGGGAACATGATGATGAAGCACGATCACCCGGAGTTCCCATCGGACGTATTCATCGCCCTGGAAACGGCAGGGGCGAGCGTGAAGATAGGGAGTTCCCAGGGGGAGAGGACCCTGACGGTGAAGGAGTTTCTGAAGGCGGACATGGAACAGAGTGTTCTGTTGACCCTGTATCTGCCCCCGAAATCCCCTGACACCGCGATGAGGACGTTCAAGGTCATGCCGCGGTCCCAGAACGCGCACGCGTACGTAAATGCCGGGTTCGCGGCCCGCATTCACCCGGAAACCTTCGTCGTCCTCGCACCACCGACCTTCGTCTTTGGCGGCATTCGGGCAGACTTTGTGAGTCCCAGGAGCCGACGACCGGGAGAAATCCGCGTTGGAAGGAGCAGAGAATGATGGTATGATACATCTCTTCGTAGGACCATGCCACCCAGACGGAATCGTTCGTGGTGAACAAGAGCCTGGCGGATGAAGGCGTCCTCCAGGCGGCGTTGAACATCCTCGGCGGAGAAATCCAACCGGACTCCCAGCCTGCAGATGCCTCTCCCACATATCGGCGGACCTTGGCTCAAGCACTCTTTTATAAGGTGCGCATTCTCGTTCCAATAACCACTCACCTGCATGATCCTCTGGGCACTCTGCAATCGCGTGAGCGACCCATCTCCAACCATCCGTTCATCTAGTGGGTGTTGGGAATCGTGGGAGAAGTTGCTGGAGGAAGGATGCGAAGCGGGGGCTCGGGACTGGAGCGACCTCTGTCGTCGGGGAAGCAAAGTTACACGACGGACAAGGACACTTATCCAATCAGTGAGCCCATTCCTAAGGTTGAGGCTCGGGCTCAAACCTCCGGTTAGTACTTCTCCCTCACAGCCATTCTCATGGTTTATTCTACAGGGTATCCGAGAGAAAACACCTATTTTAAATTATTACAACTTTTTCAAATGGTTGCCTAAGTTACATCCTTGATTTTTATATCAGTGTGTTTCTTGAAGTCTGAAGTTTCGGGGAATTTCTACTAGCTTGCACAAAATTTTCATCAAGCGTCGCCATTTACACGCAAAACGCCTGACGGTGGACTGCAAACTGCCCCCTGTTTGCTAACCGAGGAACCGACGAAAGTTTGACGGCTGTTCACGACAGCTGTTGCTCAACTAGTTGATGAGATGTAAAACTGCAGCGTATTCTGTAATTTGCTACATTTGAATCAGCAAAAAATTTTGAGCTTGGGCCCCACCGTTTCTGCAAGAAATGGCTGCAGGATCAGAGAGGATCAATCTGTTTTTAACGATTTAAAAGGCTCTGGAACATTCAGATGACAGCATTCCGAAAGCGCTTCCAGAAGTGTACCGATTTCTTGGGCCAGCATATGGAGATTCCTGAAATCTTCAAACTTCAAGGAACACACTGATGAAAAAAGTCAGGTATCCAGGTGAATAAGAAGTTACTTTAATTCCAGCGTTATCTGTCGTACAGCTATGCCGCTTAACCATATGCCGCGTTCTGTCCAACTTGCTGGACACAGTTTGTGATAACTTGGGTTGTGTTTACGCTGCGTCCAATATTGAGTGATATTCAACATGCTGGACAAAATGCAGCGTAGGTATAGGTAGATGTAGTAGGTATATGATTTATAAGATTTAATTCTTCGTTCGGTTGCCAGAGATATCTACTGGTAGTTTAATAATTCTCCCATTACTACGTACCGTTTTCTTTGGGTGAGGGCTGACAAGTGTGTGTACATAGGAGAAGCACAATACGTGAACGACATACCCCACTTCCCCGAGGAACTCCAAGCGGCCGTCGTCACCACATCCGTGGGGAATGCCAATATAAAAAACATCGACCCCACCGACGCCCTCGTAAGAGGATTCCCTACCCTATCTACTTCATTTTCTGTCTGGATTATAATACCGCTTGGGTACGCAAATGTAGGCAATGCCAGGAGTGGTGGGGTTCGTGGATCACAGGGATGTCCGAGGAGAGAATACATTCTGCAAGCTCTCCCCTCCTTTCAACCTCGAATTGGAGCCCGTAAGGGAGTTCCCATGCTGCCTCCCCAGAATTCCTTCCATCTGCACGTCTTGTGCGGCAATACCCCAATAACACAGAATATAGGAACAGTATTTACCTAACGTCGAGCCAATATTCCAATATAGGTCTAACGTTAAGCCATTATTGGTCCAATTACTGTGTTACTGGGGTAGGGTTCCCCACATTGCTGCCATTGCCACCATTTCTCTATCTAACGTTGGCATGCTTGCACTCTTGGGCAGATATTTACGAAGAATCGTTCGCAATATGCGGGTCAGCCCATCGGGCTGATCTTGGCCAGAACTCGGCGAGAGGCGGAAGAAGCCGTCAACAAGGTCCGTGTGGAATATACGGATGCTAAAAAACCCATTCTCAGCATCCGTGATGCCCTCGCTCGACCTGACGAAACCCTCATGAAACATTTCGACCCTCTCATGCCCTGCGAGAGCTACGACGGTTCGTTATAAAAGTTCATCTCTCGATGGTTCCCGGAATTCATCTGAAAAAATGTGATTGGACGTAGACGCTAGAAAGAGGGCCTTCTCGCCTTAGTCTAAAGAGAAGCGAGAAGATTGGTTTCGCCTATTTGAATGGATAGATGTATAAAGTCTCGGAAGCTGCAGGGAGCTGGGCCTTGGAATTTCGCATCGTGGAAGGTCAAGCACTTGTCAAAGAAAATGTTTTTTTTAAAATGGGTTTTGGCTGTCCAAAATGCCTCTAAAACTGAGAAATCGTGGAACGAAATGTGACAACTGCATCTCGAGGACCAAAGAAATCTCGTTTGAAAATGTTCACGGTTCAGTGTGTCTATTGAGAGGCAGAGAGGACTCCGACCTGGGTGTTCTCTCTTAAGGGAAAGTGGAGGCCAGGAAGAAGTTCCATCTTCATTTCCACGCGCAGTCTCCTCGACATCGATCAAATTATTACTTATTGAATTTCTCCAGGGGATAAGACGAAATCCCATCCAATCTCAATTTATATTTCGCTCAAATCAGTCCCTCCCGGTTGTCATGCCTTGCGTGCTCGGTGCTTCATTTTCACATTCATATTTGCATTAATATTTAAACAGGTGCGGCAGCCCTTCTACTTGGTTGGTCTGGTGCATGCATAAAGAATGTACGCAAAGAATGTGCATGCATAAAGAGTACGCTTCATACCGCGGGACCAGAGCTTGGAGTATTTGCCCAACTTCCTTGCTTTTCATTCATGCCCACAATAGTTACCTTTTGATAGGGGGGGGGGGGGGGGGGGGGAAGCTGCCGCACCTGTTTAAATATTAATGCAAATATGAATGTGAAAATGAAGCACCGAGCACGCAAGGCATGACAACCGGGAGGGGGGGGGGGAAGTAAGCTGCAATTGTGACGTTTACTGAGAATTGTAGCTTCGTATCGTAGCCTCACTGGCCTCCGGATTGTCCAGAGAAATGTGATTTTAAAAATATTTTCCAGTTGATTTTTGGAGAAAAAAAAAATATTTAAAGTTATTTTTTTAAATACAGGTTGCAAGACTGTGGGTTACTACGCACACCCATAGAAACTGAAGAACTCGGCGAAAAGTTTCTGAGCAGAGTTCCATGGTGTACAATACGGATAAAATCAGGAAGGAATTGGGCATTGACAGGCCGCCATTTTCCATTCCTGAATTGCCTTTGATTTAGAGCGCATTTCCTTGTCCTCTGCAGCTCTCTTGGGACCGGGACGCATGAATATTTATTTTCTAGCTGCTCTCCTGACTCATCTACGCTTGCGTTTAGTTTTTTCTCCGCTGCTTCTGCCTCTCCCAGTAGAAAAATGCGCCCTTAAGGCGATTCTTTGCAACTTTCTGGCAGAGGCAGGACTTGCGATATGCACTCTTTTCCTCGCCTTGTCTCACTGAGATTTTTTGCAGTTTTTCCTCCCAAAGACACTGCTTTTGACATGAGTAGGACCTCAATTATTGCTGATAAAAAAAGATCGCGGACATGTAGAGGGATCATGATCAGTTTTATTCTTGCAGCAGATCGAAAGCTCTTTTGCATGCGTAACATGTGACACCTCAAAAATTCGATACCTATAGGCATCTTATCGAGTTTTCGTATCGAAAAAGCAGCATTCCATTATAAAGCATTTACAGCATTCCGGTTGTATACAGCCGGAATGCTGCAATTTTTTTAAAAGCTATTTCATAAATATTGTCAAAGGGAAGTGGCTAGTTATGAAGCATTCGAGGAAGATTCTCCTTAGATTTTAATGAAAGAAATCGACAAGCCTGATCTTGGAATCTACTGCTCATATGAGGGGGTTTCTAGACGAATTCTGAACCGTAACGCCGATTGGCGAGCGTGTAATCCACATATGTACAGTTGTGGATAATTAAAATGGAGGTTGGATTATTGCAGAAGTGGTGGGCAAGGCGAAGTACACGTTGGAGGGGGAGATTGAATTCGGTTCCCAGCATCATTTTTACTTGGAGACACAGGTGTGCATCTGCGTACCGGTCGAGGATGGACTGGACATCTACCCCGCCTCGCAGAGCATCGACGACCTTCAGGACGTCGTCGCTCAAACGCTTGGGATTCCCAACAATAGGTTCCACTTCCACCTTTCTCTTTCGATTGACATCTCTTCCAGCTGTAGGCTATTGCACGTACTCTCGATCCCGGGATTGCAGGATCAACATTCGCGTTCGTCGCTTGGGTGGTGCATTTGGGGGGAAGATCTCGAGGGCGAATATGCCGGCTGCGGCGTGTGCCATCGCCGCTGACAAGTTCAACTGTCCCGTCAGACTCGTCATGAACTTCAACACCAACCTGGAGGCTGTCGGGAAGCGCCTACCCTACCTCATCAAATATAAAGTATACGGCCCAGTACTCTTTCCAAAGTCCTAGGTCTTCTGACCTTGTCTTACTTGTTGGTATCATCGAGGTATTCCTGTAGGTCGGGTTTGATGAGAAGGGGAAGCTGTCGAGTGTGGGAGGGACCATCTACTCGGATGTAGGGTGCAGTTACAACGAGAGCATGGCCTCCTTCGCGGCCATCATGTCGCAAAATTGTTACTATTCCCCCGTCTGGCACTGGAAACCTGTCTCCGTCCTCACCAACACCCCGTCCAACACTTGGACCCGAGCACCCGGTCAGTCCCATATGTACCTTCTAGGTCCAGTCCCAATCTCCTTCAGTCAACACAGTGTAGTGATCACTGATGGAGGCGGAGAATAATTGCAGGGACGACGGAGGGAATCGCCATCATCGAGCACATCATGGAGCACATTGCAGAGAAGCTTGGGAAAGATCCGTTGGCAGTGCGAGAGATTAATTTCATTCACGAAGGTGAAAAGGACATGATGGGGAAGCCGGTTGGGCCCAATCAGCTCCCAGTCCTCATCCAACAATTCAAGGAATCTTCTCAATTCCCCCAGAGGCAGGATGATATTAAAAATTTCAATCAGGTAAGGAGTCCTTATTTTCATATCCATGCTTCATCGGAATGCACCATGGATGATGGGTCGATGATACGATGGTAGGAGAACCGATGGAGGAAGAGAGGACTGTCTGTGGTACCGATGAAGTACCCCGTGGGATACCCGCCATTCTTCAAGTATGGGATTCTGGTTTCCGTCTACCATCAGGATGGAACAGTAGCCGTCGAGCATGGTGGCATCGAAATGGGTCAAGGCATCAATACAAAAGTCTGTCCTGTGCCGCTCTCTTTGTCCGATGTGTCCGATTCACAAAAAATGCATTGGGAAATTTTCTTCTAACGTCTTCTAAAGGGGTAATTTCCTGGATTTTCATCTTGAATCCACAAGGACTAAAATAACATTATCAGATGAATGTACTTAGCTGATGAAGTAAGGATAATCTGGCCGGAGGCTGTCCTGATCCAAGCGCATCAAGAGATATTGAAGCCTGGTTCTCGCTAATGGAAGAAGTACTTAGTGTTTACGGATAGGCTTGTGCTTTTCGTCTCTTTATTCTGAGAGGTAAACAAGAGAGCTGAAAATCGATATGAAGCTATGGTTGAGTGATGGATATGAACCTACTTTCTGAGAATCTATCACACGCTATTGCTATCTTTAATATTGCATATTTTTGGCATATGTGCGTGTCATGAGTGTGAGACTGGGATTGTATGAACCTGCACTTTGAATAAGCTTACCGTCAAAGTACGACAAATTCCCTCGTTGCCTGACCTATCATAAATGTTATCTTTTCATACCCAATGTGCTCACATAATCTTTCCCATTGAATTTCTTCCCTTAGGCCTTAAGGACACATAATGAACATCAAATCCAAACCACAGAGCGACAGATCTTTGAGACAAAATCGTACACGCAAATGATGGGGTTGGAGCTGGCACGCCTCATGCTACCATTGAAAACCTAGCTTAGCACATTCTGATGAACAGTGAACATGGTAGGCGGAACGGTGATAATGTCGTGTGATATGAAGAAATTTGATTAGTTTTCCTTGTAATTAAAATTTATCTCAATGATTTGCCAACAAAACTTACACTTAAAAAAAAACTTTCCAGCGTAAGCATCCGAAAACACATTTAATAAAACGCACATGAACGCTTATTGCATGCGTGGTGCGTTTTTAGACATTCTCTGATGTGCTCTTGGGTGTTTGTAGAAGTCAAATTTTTTCCTTTTTAAGTGTATGCCTACCACTTACAAATAATGGTTATTTCAATTCGAAACCAGAAACCAGGCTACCTTGTCAGTGATGAGATTACTTCCTTAAAGTAACAGTTACAAGTATTTGACTAATTAAGTAATTAGTTGTCAGTAAAAGTTACTACTGACAAAACTGAGCAAAGTTAGTTAGAAATGAAGTTACTTTTCGTGCTTTTCGAATCTGACAACGAAAGAACCCAATCGGTATTCATGCCCAAACGTGATTATTATTGCACGAAATCACCTTTGCATCGAAGCGAGAGCTGGTTCTCGAGGTTCTCTTTGGTTATCCTCGACCTCTTTAACATGTAAATATCCCCTCCTGCATTGAACAGTGTAACGCGAGGCATTGACAGGCAGAAGGCATTGAACTCGTTTCTGTGATGCATGACGCATGTTTTGTCTCTTCGTCATTTAAGTCTGTTGCGAATTAGAAAAGGATTTCCCTTGCAGGTTCATGTCGAACATTTTTTTCTGCGAATAGTTTGCCATTTCGAAGTCGTGCACAAGTCCGCCTTCGCCTTCATGTTCAGTTGCAGTAATGACTGGTCACAGGAGTAGAGGAAGGCTACGACAGAAGGCGACGAAAAATGTATTGCTATGAACTTGAAAGACAAGCTACAAATTGGCGAAACAGAATTTCTTTTTGCGAAAGAAAAAAGGAACATGGCTTGCTACAAGGGGAGCGTAACTCATTACAATAAATCTGTTCCTTTTATGCAAAAAGAGAGAATTAATTGCTGTTACTAGTTACTCATGGCAGAATGTAACTCGTTACGCCTATTGCTACTAAAGAATTTTCAGTACTTAGTTACAGTAGCACGTTTCTCATACTCAATGTCCATGACTGCACCCTGTACAAAGGAAGTACCCATACCATAAACGGTTTGAAAGTCGGTGAATTGTGGGCGTAATGAGTTGGGGTGTGGGGCCAGGTGGCACAGGTGTGCGCGCGAGAGCTGGGGATCCCGCTGTGGAAGATCCAGGTGAAGCCGACGACCAACCTGGCTTCTGCCAACTCTTCCGTGACCGGGGGGAGTATGGGCTCCGAACTTTGTGCACACGTAAGTCTCATCCCCATCCTATTCCAGACATCCACTGATCGTCCAGCTGCCACCAGTTTCACAACGAAGGGATGTTGTTGTCTGTCAGGCGGCAGCTCTGGCGTGCAAGGAGCTTATGGGACGGCTGGAACCGATCCGAACGAAGAAGGGCCAGTTGCCCTGGGTAGATCTCATCAAGACTGCCTTCCAGGAAAATATCGACCTCACCTCCAAGCATTTGTAAGGGGATTTAACCCATCAATGCTTAGATTTTTTTTTCTAATGTACCCCCAAATAACGATCAGTTTTGACTGAAAATTGTCCTAAACAAAATTATGGTTTATTTTACTTAATACGAGCATATAATATTTCGCTCCTTACTCACTATTACCACTTATAAGTTATCCCCCATTAGTATATCGTAAGCTTTAGCAAGAGGCATTAGTTTTGCATATACATTTCTTATATCAATTAAATATATCAATATTATATTTATACACATTATGTACCACTGAGAAATCAGTTTATATCTCAAAACTGGGAAACATTTGTGGCTATTCATACAGATAATTGCTACAAAATTAATATTGTGGTGTTCTGTACAAGTAAAAAAAAAAATTTCCATTTGGTGATCATGAGACGTATTGAGTTAAGTTACCCATCACAATCCACTTCTTTCTTCATCCCTCTGTGCTTCGTGCACTATTTCTCTGGCAGCTACACGAAGATGGACGAACTCAAGGGCTATGACATCTGGGGTTTGGCATGCGCCGAAGTCGAGGTGGACATCCTCACCGGCGAGAAACAGGTGAACGTTAACACGCATATTTTTTTTTAAAGAGGGATTCCAGTTGAGGCACAGAGAGACATCTCATTTTTGGGTCAGGTGTTGAGAGTGGATGTGATGGAAGACGTGGGGGTGAGCATGAGCCCATTGGTGGACGTGGGTCAGGTGGAAGGGGCTTTCATCATGGGAATGGGATACTGGCTCCAAGAAAAGATGAAATACCATCCGGATACGGGCAAGAACCTCTCCAATAGTACCTGGGTAGGGTTCACGTATTGTCCTCGACATATCCATAATGGACTCCAGCTTTCATGATTTTCCCCAATACAGTTAACTTCCATTTTACTTCTAGGAATACAAACCCCCGACGACTAAAGATATTCCCATCGACTTCAGGATCACTTTCCTCCAAGATGCACCGAATCCTCACGGTGTTCAGCGTTCCAAAGGTGAATGTGAGAAAAGGGTATGAATGAAATGACGTTGGGATGAGCACAAAAGGAGCTTACTTGCATTTTTCATATATAATTAGCGACGGCGGAGCCTCCATTGTGTATGAGCGTGTGCTCGCTGTTCGCGGTTCGCCATGCCGTCTCGGCTGCCAGGAATGATGCGGGAAACACCCAACCCTACCTCCTCGGTAAATCTGCCACATTCGTCTTATTTAACTTATCAATTGACGAGTCGGTCTCATTCCGGGGATTGAATGGGCGTTTTCGGTGGAATTTTAATTCGTTTTTCTCTTTTCTCTCCCGCAGCGGGTCCGGCCACCAACGACGAAATCCAAGCCGAAGCCCTCACTCATCCCAAGGATTTCAAGCTTCGCTAAACTTCTCAACCACCTGCCATCTCTCCATCTTCATTATTTTTAAACCACACTTGCAGGATTCTGTTTCCTAGATCTTCTCATACACAAGTATTACGGTACGTGGGGTGATATATTCGTGCGTGTCATAAGCTTTGTGAATGCGTCTCTGTATGCATCTCTTGTGATTCCTTGGGGTTTGATCGGAATACGAAATGGTGTGCCATTATGCTCTCCTGAGAGGAAATATTTTTTAGTCATTTCAGAGAAGTTATGAATGATGTGCAGCTGAATGAAGGCATTTTTTCTCCCTCTTGGGTAACTCTTGCTTGATTTCTGATTATTCCAGGTCGAGTTAATGATCTCCCTCCTGCTACATCGAGGGAGAAACCTAGATTTTGTTGAGGATGAGAAGAAATTCATATTTCGTTTTGTTTTTCGATATTTTTTTAATGAACCATTGACAATACCTGTCTTGAATATGGTTTTCCCCTTTCCCCCACTCACCCCACTTCTCCGCTCTTGAGTCAGTCGTGAAGACGGAAAGGGAAAATATATAATTAAGTCTGAGAATTTCAAGGGCGATGCCGACTCTCGAGATATAATGAAAGGAGCAGTCGGGACTTCAAGGTCCAATCACATGAAAAGAACGGATGGATCGATGGATCGGGGAGTGTGGGCTCTCGTCATTGGCCGTTATACAGGGTGATGCAAAATTACAAAGTAAATTATTGGATTTTTTCTGATTTCAAGATTGAAAACGAAAATCTAATATGGGTGACAGAAGTTTGGGTTCATATCGTCATTCGTCGAGTTCATTAAAATTTACTAAATAATTTTTCCTCACCCTGTATAACGAGCACAGCGCTCTCGTACCTTCGCTTTTTCAATCAGTGCACAAACAGGGAAGAAATTAAGTATTTCTGATAACGATGAAACGTAGAAGTGGTGTATTATCTCCTTCTCGAGGTCGACGCCTGAGCAAACATTGAGAAATTGAACCCTCTTGAAGCGAAGCCTGAATTCGTGATGAGGAGAGAGGATTGAAGAAAAGGGAAGGAATCAGGGTTTGGATCAATGGATCCAAGTATTCGAGTCGTCTCTCTTAAAACCCCAAATAAGGCCTTTCGTTGATGCTTTTGTTATAGGAGTTGAAATTTGACGTTATTTGTTACGTTTCCTTTGCACCCAAAATATGGTAGCAATTTATTTTACTGGTTAAATTAACGAAGCGTGCCAAAACGTATGTAACGCTGTCGAAATGTTGCAATGCGCGTACTTCAAAGTTTCATTACTTGTCGACAAATTTCCCATAGTAAGAGAAGTTGCGATCGTGTGGATTGAAGCACAAGGCCTCCGCGAAGTCTCGATTTCTGAGATGAAAGCAGTTAAGCTGAGGTAAGGCACTCATCCCGAATTTTTAATACTATGCGGGGTTGTCAGATCCAAACCTCTGTCGGCTCACAGACACTCACCTAAGTACATCTCGGCATATCTGGAAAGTTGAGCAATTCCCTGGGATTGGAAATATCTGGCAGGTGCTGTCACCCCCTGTAACTTCGGCAAGAACTGGACCAGTAAATACATTATTTCTTTCCCTTTCTGGTTTCCAGGGACGTAGCCAGGGGGGTGGGGGGTGTCCTGGGTGGCTGGACGTCACCTCATGAACGTGAAAAAGCCTCACCAGACACTCCCAGGAATTAATTCCTGGCTACGTCCCTTTCTGGTTTCTAATCGCTATGACCTGTCCATAACGCATTTCCTTTCTTATGAGCGTAGTACCAGATTCGATGGTGCTTTGGTGAACGCGAATAGAATTTCCTGATGATGACCGCGTAAGCAAGTCGTATGCTCCAGCAACCGCATTCTTCCATTCCTTCGACGCCTCATATCACCCCGTCCTCAAAATCCGGTGTCGTCTCCAGTGCAGATCGAATCAGCGAGAAAATGATTTGAGACGCGATATAGCCGACTCGTGGGCCCTTGAATATCCTGTCGCCTTGCAACTTTGGATATTCTTGAGTCTGAACGCTTGCTAAGTTCCGACACGCTGGGAAGATTGGGTTTTTATGTGTGCTCGAACGAGGCAAGCGGATTTTAAAGAAATGTCAAGGATGACGTCATATTTGACGTCCAACTGAATAGAAATAACTAGGAAAATATAACGATTCGATGACAAGAAACTGAGTAAATCTGAACCGTCATATTACTCCTTATCACATTCGTATTTGGCATAGTTACGTCAAAGCCATAACCTGCTACCATTAATTTTTGGGGGGACGGTACAGTATCCTGAATTCACCTCCGCTTCCAAAGATAATAGAAACATATAGCTAGGAGATCGATCGTTCGATTTGGAAGCAGTGAGATTTTGAGCCTACCTGAATTTAATGTTTAACATATTATTATTATATGATTAATTTTAAAATATAACAATAATTCCCACTGTAATAGTAAAACCTCGTCATGGTAACAATGGGAAGTCGCAGGATTTTCTAGCTGCGCCGACGTACCAAACTCCTTGCTTGTTTTTTTTTTTTAGTGCTTGGCGAAACACGAGTGAAGGGAATTCTCTCTTTATTTATTGCTGCCTTTCTCATTAAACCGGCACGAAGATAAAATGCCAGAGGCCTGATGCGTCGCTTGTTTATAGTGGCAAGGAGCCTGGAGTTCGGATTTCATCGCTTCGCTCTCCACACGGAGTCTCTGAGGGCAGAGACTATATATGCAGCTGTTGCAGGTTTCTCACTAGGGGATCACTTGACTTTTGCTGGGTTCGGGAAATTCCATTTTAATGTCAAGTCTAGCGGAACGAGAGGGACTCTCGTTCCACGTTTCACTTGCTTTCGCGTGCAGAAGCACACGAAGTGAGGGGAAGGTACGCTAAACGTCTGTCGGAGAAATGAAAGAGACTCGAGGATCAGGACTCCAAATTCGGCTAAATCACAGTCTTAGCATCTCATGCAAGCGAAAATATCCGCAATTAAGTATTCGACACAGGTGGGGTACCTTCGGCTCCCTCCACATCTGAAGGAATAGGTACTCTCTCAAAAATAACGCCTCTATTTTGGGAATGGATTTCCTGCACTTGAGAACGGGCTTGGACAACAGTACCTCTCTGGTGAAGGTAAGAAGACGGGTGATTACGTTACTGAGTATACCAACCTGCAATAACAGAAAAGTAATACAGTCGACGCTCGATACGACCTCGAAGGAACAGGTTTAACATTTTCGTTTTAGAGTATATTTGTTACTGGGAATGTCAATATCACTTCAAAATGTTATTTATTGCAGAAAAGCAAGTAGCTGTCCATTCATGAGAAAACGCGAATGTCAAAGTGTGCGTCACATTGCAAAAATACATGTATAGCTTTCAAGACGTATGTATGGACGTGCACAGCAGTATGTACTTATAATTTAGATATGAAATGAGATTTTCCAGGGATGCACAAAAGAAAGTAACCTTGACGTGCGCAGAAGTGATCGTAACAAGGAAAAATTTTGTTCCTTTGAACGGAAAAATGACCGGAAAACCGAACAATTATTCATTATATCGTACAGAACATCGTTATAAAGACAGTTTAAACCTGTATATGAATGGCAAACGGCCGGGAACTGGCAAAAAATGTGTTATATAGAGGTTCGTTATGTCAAGCGTTGACTAAAGTTACGGGGAGTGCGCGGTAATATCGACACAACGCGGTGGACCCTGGAACCGAAGTATGGAAAGATACGTTAGTGTGGGTTCGTTGGTCGTCTGGTGTACGAACTCGAATGTGTCCCCCCCCCCCCCCCTCCCTTGGCCAGGCTCCGTGGTGGTGGGGGGCTCTTCGACCTTGCCCACTCAGCCCCCTTTGACTTTTGACCTGCCTGAAAATTGCCAGGAAGATATGATGAATGTTTCCAATATTTGGAGTTAGCCAAATATCAACAAAATGCTTTGATTTTTAGTATTGGTGCATCATAGTTCCATAGATGCGAATTTGGAGTTATTACATGTATTGGACTACCAAATTTTCACTTTTGTCAATGGCAGATGGATGCAACACGCTACAATGTGATATTTTCTATGACACCAAGAAAAGAACGCATTTCTCTGATGTAGAATGTTGCAAACTAGTAATGAAGCAACCTTTTCAAGTCTTTTGTGCTGCTTGCTCACATCAATCCCTTTATGCATTGGGATTTCTCATTAAATCATGATCGATAACTGAATTCAGGATTGAAAACATGCCAAGACAGAATAAGGCCTCATCTCTGAAAAGGTTGTGCATTTCCTTTCCACAGCAAGATATGGACAGTCTCTGTGTACTCAGTGACTTACTGCTTGACCTAAAGGTTTTGCCAAGATAGAGACATGTTTCAAAACCAATGACAGTTTCTGTGAGCTGCCATGTTTGCAGATACATAATCCATTCCTTGCATATACACAGAAGTGCTGGGGAGTAATTCTCACTAGCATTGTATATAAAACTTACTTTCAAGTAATTATAATTGCTCTCATGTTTTTACAGTACAGGTTGAGATTTTAAACATAAGTACAAGGGAACTTCAATGGGAAGCAAAACAAATGGATTGGATAAAATATAAATTTATTCAGCTGGATTTGATACATCCATCAGTTGCCTGGTACCTCATATACTGCATCATGCTCCACCTAAATGAGCCCACTCCAGAACTTTTTTTTAAAGAGAATCATAAATTCATGTATTCTGAATGCCAAGACTTGACAACAGCAATAATTTTTTGCTCAATTTCAATGCCTTTTGATTGTTCTTCATGTGAGATCTGTATGTTTATTTCCTCATCTTGTTTCACCATAATGACTGACTCTTTCCTGGTTTGCAAGAGGTTTCCAATCACAACATTATGTTTGTATTTTAACAAAGCCTCTTTGGCCTTTTTTGACAATAATGAGATATCAGTTTCTAGTTTGAATGAGACAATGTAGGCTTCAGGGCACCAAAGGCAGACAAGTGGCTTCAGCATTTTTGGTACAAGCTGTAGCTCAAGCTTCAAAGGTCCACCATCAGACTGAACCTTATGTTCAGGCATTTTGTCTTTGGGGATGTAGAAATCTGAAACGGCAGCAGCAAGATACAGTAATGCTTGCTTTTTCAGTGGGGAGAGTACATGGGCCAGAGTGCGCAGATACCAAAGATAATCAGAGAGATAAAGAAAAGGCACAGACAGAAGTGAGCAACTGGCATTGCAATTCTGGTACTCCTGAAGGACTGTATGAAGCTGTGATGCAAACCCCTCTCGAACAGTCACTCTACTGGAATTTGCATCAGCAAGGAAAGCCTGTAGAAAGGTTTCTTGGTCCACACGGCGAGTGAATGGGTACTTGCTCTGCTTTCGGTGGAGAAAGATCACTGCATACCCTTCTTGAAGGAGATATTCTGTTGAGGCTGACCCTCGTTGACCTGAACTGAAATTGTCAATGAATCGCACAGTGTTGAGCTCGATGGGAATAGCTGTTCCACCAGATGACACCAGGGCGACTGGTTTTCCTCGAGAGAGATGATATCTCACAAAATCAGATGCTTCTTTTTCCACTCTTTCCAGTTCAGTTGGTACTGGTGTAGCACTAAAAAAATCCTCCCAGTCTGTTGACCCAGTCATTCTGAATGACATGAGGTCCAAGCACAAGATGCAATACCTTGTGAGACCTTGTTGCTCTTCACTTGCATTGTTATGTCAGAGTATCTCCTTTGGTCACCTGGAATTAGCAAATAAGCATATTTCTTAACAAGATTGAACAAGGGATGGTCCAAAAACATCAGCATTTATTCAAAACAGAGTGAAGTATGCTGAAGGCTTCATGAATGATGGTTCAACATTTAACAAATGAAAAAAAACACTGATTGCCACAAAAAAATTGCACTTTGTCATGACTGTGTGCCTGTCAGTGCTTTAACACCCAAAAACCCTTGAATTTTGACCTCCTAAAATGTTCACACTGAATGCTAGCACCCATGGATTCATCCTTCTCATGAGACAAAACTTGCTCCCATGTACCATTTTACTAATTTTTGTGGAAAAACCTCATATTGTAATCAAAGATAAAAGTAGCCTATTATGTCTTCTGACATCATGGCTGCCATTTGACATAGACTAGAAAAATTAAAATGTCCATGGGCTCAATCCAATTGGTTTATGATCTTAAAATGTCTGTAAGTTTAAAGGTTCATAGGTAAAATAATGGGTTATGAGATGGTTGGGCTACAGCCCTTCCATCTGGCATTTACAAACAAGGTTTCCACAAGAGAAGAGTGATGGTGGATCAATTGCTGTTTTTCATGTCATCTCAACAGTGCTAGAACTTCTCAAGGAAGATCCTGCATGAGCTTTGTGGAAATAAAAAGTGCTCTTCTCTCAGAGGAGGTGATTTTTTACCTGATGGTATTCCTCAAGAACAAAATTAATTTTACCAGTTGGAAATACAACTATCATCTCCTATTTCTAGAGTTGGGAAAGTTCAATTTCTCAGGGATGGTTTTTGGAGTTTTCTGCGATTTTTTTGATACTGAGAAAAGATGAGGAGCAAGTGTGCATGAGTAAAATATGGTGCATAATATAAAATAAAATCCTTCACTCTGGTTTGCCTATACTTTGTCTGCATCTAATTTTACATTACCAGGAATAAAGATATTCACCTGAAACTTAGCACATGTGATAAACAATGTCTGAATGTTTTGGGGATGCTACACAGTATATGATCACGATAGTGGATAGTACCACATACTAGAGCAGTGCCTCTCAACCATTGTCATAGCACACCAGTTGTGAAGCACTGTATTAGGGCATAAAGAAGGTAGTGCCAGCACATGGGTAGAGCACATGACAAAGGAAATTGGATCCTGCTGTGGAAAAACTCATGATCATTAAGTCCTTGGTGAAGGAACATGAGACAGCCATAAATGCGTGTTGACAATTACAAGTCATGTTTGGTATGGAGTGAAGTCATGAGTGTATGCATAAGTATTCCACATACAGTCTTCTCCACACAAGAGGCCATTCAGGGGTTGAGGTGGACCATGTTGCTGCATCCTGCATACATTCCTGATCTGGCATAATCTGATTATCACTTGTTTCATGCCATGAAGTGGAACTTGTGCCCTACAAGTTCCATCACTACAAGAACATCATTCTGAGAATGCTGTGAAAACTTGTGTACACGAACGAATCTGTAATGCTTTACCAGAGTTGTTTCAAATGGACATTTCTAAACCTGTGCAGAAATGGCAGAAGTGCATTGCAAAAAATGGTGACAGCATAAAAGTGATGCAGACATTTTTTAATCAAATCTGCAAGCATGATGAAATAGGGTACTTATGGCTTGAGGACACAGAAGAAGTGCCAAGAAGGCTAGCTAGCTACTTTCCTGGTATTTCCTCCATACCCCTTTGCTGTTGCTCCTTAATACAGAGCCATGAGGGAAAATGCCAGTCACAGCCAGGCATTGTGTTACTATCAAGGTAACCCATCCAAGGTCTAAATTTAAATGGTCAAATAACACAGTCCAGAAATCTCACAAGTGACTCTAAAATATTTTAATATTTAATGGCTCACCTTAGCTTCAAGATACTCAATTTTCCTCTCCAGTGTTGTAAGCTTTTCATTCAGGAGAGCAAGTCTGTACCTACAAGATGCATCTGCAGAGGAAAGAAAGGGAAATGTGAGAATTCTCATCGCAATAACTGGTCTACGTTAAATGGAAGCTGACTCAGCATAGGCCTACTTTGAGTAAAGTCAATTTTGCCTCACACTAACGTTAGTACGACATGACATCTGATGTTAGGCCAAAAAAAAATCAAGATTTATGAGGCATAAGTCTGATGCCATGGTTACTGGGAAATTAGGAACTAGATTTTACCAAACGTATTGAGGAAATCTGCAATCTTCTTGATGCTTCCAGTGATAACTTCGATATCAGCTCTGTTCTCCCAGTCGGCTTGGGTTTGGCGCTGCAAGGCCTCCCGATGATTGGGCTTACGAGATGAGTCTTTCATCCCAGGGGCGGCCATATCTTCCTTGGCGGTGCTTCTGACATCTTCAGGAAAGAATGAAAGATACAGATAGTTCCTTTCTGGGGCAGATAGCACTACCAACCAGCTTTTAAACGGGAGTCGACCAGCACGCTGGGGCTGGAGCGAGTCTGAGTGGAGCGAGTGGCTCGAGGCAGTGCAACGTATGTGCTTTTCGTCCTTCCCTTTTTCCCCTCCCGCCCCGCTATCTTGTCGCACAGTTGTTCGGGCGGGAATTCGTACATCCCCTCCTGCTGTGATGTTTCTCAAGTGATATGGGACGCAGTGCAGAATGGATAAATTCATTACCAAAAGGGATCGGGACCAGGTCATCGGGTACGAGGGCCAACTGAAAGGTGAGCCTGGAATTCTGCACGAATCATCCGATCGCGACTGATAGTTTCAGTTCGTAGGCCAATTTCAGTTCGTAGGCCAATCGGAGGAAGGTGCTTCTGTGTTTGAGAGCCTCGTCAGGACTACAATTCCCTGTTTATTCTGTTGGAGTTTGACTTGTCGGAGTTGCCTTCTGATGTCATGCTTCAGTGTTTGTCGGGCACCCTGTGCCATGAACGAATTTAAGCTACTCCTACCCTTTTCCTGTCGGCATCATTAATGTGAAGATAATTCATGCAGTCACATGGCGGTTATTCGTTTGCTTTTTATCACTTCTTCCCTTACCGCACTGGTGTGTGCTCCTTTTTAACGCCACCCGAGATGCTAAAGCAATTGGCGTCATCCAGGAAGCCAAGGCTTTGGACACGTCCTTGCCAAGCCGAAAAAAGTGAAAGTCCGATGTATTTGAGATGCAGTCCTCGTTCTACTGGGAAAGAGAACGACCGCAGTAGCCCGTACGATCATATTAAAAAAGAAACCTATCGGTTCAATATTCATTCAGTGTGGAGTATAAAATTTCGATGTTGCTTATTACCGTACTGTTGAAAAGGAATCCGGGACCGAACTACGACATTCTCCCTCGTCCAGCCGATGGCATGTCACGAACGTCCATGGAATGGAATTGCGAGATCATCATTACCCAAACAGGTTATCTGAGAGGCCGAAGACTCTCCTTACAGTATAGTCCTAGTCTGCATGAATCCACGCCCTGCACAAAGGGCCTCATTTCGCGCTCCATGAAGAAGCGGAATCGGGCATTATGACATGACAGGCAGATGTTCTGCTGGAATGCATGAAGGCAGGAAGTCACCGAGACGTGACCTTAGAGTGTCTGGGCTGTAACGACGTCTTTGTGCCGCGTATATTTTTTGAACAGCCAAAGTTTTATCTTGTATTTGGGACCTTGCTCGAATGCACTTTTCTTGTGGAATGAGGGGAAAAGAAGAGGAATCATCTTGGCTTGACCTTCACAGTGGTGGATTGGGATAAATATGATGATGGGAAATTTTCGGTCACGTCATGACTGAGGTGTTTTCTGCGAATCCCGGCCTCCATCTCCTCTCTGATTGGATCGGAATGAGTCACGTGACACACACCCAAGCGAGGGGGGGGGGGATCGGGCGTAGCGTTGGCTATGCATCCACGAGGACGTGCTTCGTGTCGCCACAGTCGGCCTCCGGACGTCGTCGGTTCTGCATCCTCTGACAAACCACAACTTTCGCAACAGAGGGTGCAAAATAGTACATGAAAAGGCCTGGTTTTATCATACAGTAGGTTTGTCGGCTCCATCTACTCTTGGGATGGGGGATTCAGTGAACTTAGAAAGTGAAACCAAAACTGCTGACGAGGACGTTTTCATGGAAATCGCCTCTCCCAAGTTGAAGAGATTGGGGTCGTTGAAGAAACAAGTCGTACTCAATAGTGAGTTTTTCCATCATTCAATTCTTGCGCGTGTGAGAAAACCTATATTTTAGTGTCTCTAGGTTCGCACCCCCGTGACGAAAATTACTGGGAAGCACGAACGTGTGTACACGTCATTCCTGCACTCCTAATCCATCTTAGTCATGTCATTGGCGTCTGGGTCGAGCAAAAAATGAGAGAAAAGACACAGCGACAGTTGCTTGTGTTCGAGTAGTGACTATTGAAGTTGTCTGGTGTCTGAAACTGACAAGTAGTAAACCCATTGACAATGTGGGACAAAGGACGTGAAATCATGCTCTTACTCGTTGATGGCTCCATAGGCTTAGTTCTCTTACGTGAAGAGGACACCCATGATAACCTCATTATTAAATCCAAGGCTGAGTAATCTTTGCCTTTAATTAGTATCTGTAGAAACTTGTTCACTTTCCTGTGGATAATTCCATAACCCCAGTTTTGCATCCACGTCTGGATATGATAACATCTGAGGATTTCAAGGGAAACACACGAGTATGAAGCGATGGGAAGTCGTTATTATCATGTGCCAGTGCGGACGTCCTTCCGTTCTGGGATTCGTTAGCGGCTTATCAACGAGGACTCTAATTAATGCCTTCCACTGAGCAGATGCATGACGAACTATACTCGCCCTTTATTCTTCTCTCTTGCTCTCTTTCTCATGGAAGAGGACTGAACTCGAGGTCATAAATGCCAAGTCGAATTTTCATTGCGTTTTCTACTATTTACGTCCCACGTCTTGAATTATGGAACGCCATCGCGTCGCCACAGACTGAAAGCAAACGGCAAATGCTTCATTTCACTCCCTTCGCATAACCCTCTTTCCTTCCTCCCCCCTACCTCTTTTTTTTTGTAAGCGAAAGCAAGATATGATAAGCTGCTTCCGGGTTCATAGCCAACTGATACGAAGCCCTAGCTTTCATGTTCTGTTGAGGCGAATGTTTTACATTCACGCAAGGGGAAAAGCCTCTTGAAAGACATTTGAGGTCTTGGCACAAAGACACAGACCGTCTGCTCTCTGTCTGGGTGACAGCAGGGGCGACCCCCATCTTTTTTACGTCATCTGGAATATTTCGAATATTTCGAATCTTCCAGCTAAGTAAACATAAGCCATTCCGATGGATGGAAAGACTTACGTAGGGTGAGAAAAGGGAACGAAGTAGGAAGTTGATCTATTGGTAAGGAATAAAGAACAAAAGACTAAGTAACCGAAATTTTCGGAGAATCATGCGAGGACAGATGCTTCTTGCAGAGCTGCTAATGGTATAGCTTCATCTTTTTTAACTGCATCCCTTCTTGTGCATCCTAGGTATGCATCTTTTTTCTTTCCTCACACATGGGCCTCATGTGGCGTAACTCTGTTCTTGTGGATGACTCTTTTCTTGGAATGGATATAGGGGGCACAAGACAAGACAAGATCTTCCTTCCTTCCTTCTCCCCTCCGTCTCTCCCCCTCCTCACGGAACCTCATTTAGCCCGTCTCTCGTGTGTATGTTTTCCCCATGAGATGGAGAAGTCTAAGTATACTCAAGCGGTGAAACTTTTTTTTTTTCGAAATATACGTACGTGCACGTAGGCCCCATCTTCAGTGTTTCGCATTTCCATTCATCAATGCGACCCTTTTTTTTAAACCTTTTTTTTTTTCTTTTTAACAAATGCATCATGAATTCGTGACTAGTATTTATCTTGGATCCCCCTTCTATTTTCTACTCCTCGTGATTGCTTTTGTTAGATCCCACGTTGTTAAATCCTCTCGTGTCTGTGGAAACGAGTTGGCCAGACCATCAGTAATTTTGAGCTAGAAGGAAAGGAACGACATGGATTCCAGGCACTGGTTGTTGACGTCATGAAGGTGTCAGTTTCCATAGCAACGGCAGCAGTTCTTTAGTCCTTATGTTTTCTCCGTTCTGTTATTGAGCCATCCAAGCCAGGTTTGTCGAAGGGAGTTCCTAGAATTAATTTCAGTCCTAAAAGGGTCAGGGGCCGAGAGAAGCGGGTGGATAGGAATAACATTCATTCGTCATCCGACGAAAGTCCCTCTCTGGCTGGCTAAAGCCGGCTCTATCGATTTTCTCCCGTCTCACTGCTCCCCATCCCTCCTTCTCTCCCTTCCTTCCTTCATCCTCCTCCGACAATTCATTTGCAGCAGCAGACCGGTCGGAGGACGAGGAAAAGGGATTCTGGTATTCGGTTCCCTCATTCTATTGTCCTGGGTTGAGATCAGGGAGAATGGGGTGGAAATGAGTGCTCTGCCGATATCGATCGGGAAACCGGGTCAATGCAATCATTAGGCACGCGAGAACCTTCCCTTCATCCCCGTCAGTCGTAATATGCATCTTCGGATCGATTCCCCGTTCCAAAGCCCACCATGCATGGATGAGGGTGGTGATTCACGGTTCACTCTGCACTTGCTATAGCCTTTCCTGACATCTGCCGAACGAGGATATGAACTTTAGTTCTCTTTTCACGCCCGAGATAGCAGCAAAGATCGTGGTTCGCCCCCGTCGTCTGCTCCGTTGTGTCGCCTTTCTCAATGGCTGTGGTGGGAATTGGGGTTCACCGAAATGTGTGTCTCCCCACATTGCCGTGAGTCCCAGCCCGTTGTGTATCGTGTGGGAGAACACTGGGCATTGGACCGGAGCATGAATGACGAGGCGCTTTGTGTTTGGACGGCCGACTAATTAGTGGGCCATACACACGAGGGAGGATTACTGTGGATTGACTACCGAGAGGGAGCCGTTGGAATCCCCTATTGCATTCAGTGGGGCCTTCGGGGCTCGCTGCTGGTGCTTGTGCGTGTGAGTGTGATTCCCTCTTCCCTCTTCAGCTTCTCCCTCTGCAAAACTCATTTCCCCCGTTGCGCCCGATGAGACCAGACTCCTGTACAAACAGCTGGGGTTGTGTACAGTATGCGAGTGGGGTTTCCTTCTTATAGGCAGGGGAAGCGCTTCCGTGCTCCTGTACTCGTGTGCCAAAACAATACTTCCGGTACCGGTACTTCGCAATACGGGTCAGCCAGGGATGTGTGTCCGCGGTATTCCTGGGTTTTCAGCTTAGTGTCGTCTGCCTCCTCGCCCGATCACGCCTTAGATTCAAAATAGCCCTTTATGTTAACCCAACGCCTCTGTCCCTGAATACTTCTTTTTTTTTACTCGGGTGCGTGACCACCACTCGTGATCGATCTGCCTCAGTTGCTCATAAACAAGCGAAGGGAAGAGAAGGAAAAAAAAACGATTGCCTGAGTGAACTAGGCCTAGTTAATGAACCGGAATAAGTACTGTACTTTCTCCCCTGTGCGTGTGAGAGAATGCAGAAAGAAGCCCGATATCTTTTCTCCCCATACACTCCGCATTGGTGCCTCGGTAAAGTGAACTGTGATTAACGAACTCCGAGAGGGAGAGGGAGTGAGATGTTCCGTTGCATTGTGACCCAGCCGAACGAATGGATCCATTCCAACGTGGACATCAAGGATGCTTATCCAGGTGAGATTTGAGATGATTGATGGATAACGGAGAATGTCATTTTCGGTAATTGCGGACCCGCGGAACGATCACGCGAAACAGTTCTTTGTCGTCGAGGTCACTGGTCAGAGTCAGGATCGTTCAGGGTGGTCGAAGGATTCCATCCATAATCGCTATCCTCTCTGCTTGTGGTCCCCCTCCCAATACAAATTCCCCATTGATCTACGCTCTATACTCCTTGTTGGAAAACACCACCTGTGGTAGAAGCCATTTACAACTTCCGCCTCCTGTTGCAGGCAGATAATTTATTCGTGAACTTCGTACCTTTGGAATCGTTAGACAGTCCTTGAAGAAGACAGCCACAAAGGGCAGTTTTCAAAATGGCGTGGACGTCACTAAAGGCATTTATTTTCCCTACATCGCACCGTAGGCATTGTTCGAAGTTGTTACCCCCAGGAGAAAGGAGGTGTGTGAAGTGAATACATACCGCAATCGAGATTTTCTGAACTGTCGTCGAACTTGGCGCCAGCCCCCATCGACTCCATGAATATCATCAACCCCTTCGTAGCCTCTCGCTAAATGCCAAGCACGATCTTAGACCATACGTCATGGTTGAAGTCTTTTTTTTTATGTCAGACTTCATACGTGATTACCATCGTGGAACCAGAGTTCGAAGGACTTAATTTTTTTTCACGGGTCAGTCGTGTTGCATTGTATGCAGCAGACATGGAGTAATTATGCCGAGCCATTGGGGACGACCTTGACATTGAAGAAGTCCTTCGGAGCCCCAGGAGGTCTGTGGCTGTCTGCATCAGTTATACTAGCGTAAGGCCTCCCTTGTCTAACCAGGTGACGACTGACTTGAGAGGTTCTTATCTGTGGGTGTGACAAGAGGGAACGTTATCGGGAAGGTTCACACATGGTTCGAATGTTCCCGACGACTTCGGTCCTTTTTCTTTTCTCAACGCCTCTCACTCTCTTTGAAGAGGAGTGAGAGAGCGAGAGCGGGAGAGCGAGCGAGCGAGCGAGCGAAGAGAGTGCACAGCACTGTGGACCGAGGGGCTTTCAAGAGTTCCTTGCCTCAGCCTCCCTCCTTCCTCTACTCATAAGCCTCCTCCGGCCCTAGCCGGTTCTCAGTCTGAGTTCACTGCTTGTCTGTGAAACCCGCGCTTCCTCTCACTCTCTCGCCTGCGCTCTCAATCACGGTGCACCCTTTCTTCCTTGTTTCCATCCCAAAATGGACGAAGAGGGTGAGAGAGTATGTTGACGAGTTTCCATGAGTGGATATCGGGGACGAGTACGGCGAATCTCGCCTTTCCAGAGCCCCGAAATCGCCCGTTTTTGAATTACGGCTCTTCTGGATTCCTTTTCTGCAGTGGCCGTTATCAGGCTGACGACTTCCTTCGTGATGCCGAAGGTAAAAGAATCCCTAGCATATGTATCATCATTTCTTGTCGGTTAGTAAATTTGTTCACCTTGGTCGTGCCTTGTCTCAACAGTACTGGTATGTAGAAATGGCCATCGATAGCTCTGAAACCCCTCTCCAAACGAAATTTTTTTCCCCTGAAATTTTCTTCTTTCTCCTCAGAAGATCGACCGTCAAGGTCGGAAAAAAAAAATGTTGGCAGGAGCTCCTCAATCGAATGTCAAGTCACTCCCGCAAGCTTTTATGAAAGGAAGAAAAAGACGAGGGAGAGATGCGAAACTCTTTTTATTACTACACAAAGCACAGCCTTCTTGCTAATGGTGTCTCTATGTACGCGCTCAATTTCTTCTTTCTTTCATTGTTTCCCTGAGTTTTCAAAGGATTGGGAGATTTTCTTCGTCGTTTCCCAACGCGAAGACGTCACTATGTTGGCCTGACGCCAGCATCCACGACTTTTCTTCTAATGACGCCTCTGATCCATTCCGAAAGAAGTATTCGAAAGAGGGGAAAAGCGGGAAACGATGGGAGAGTGAGGAAATCTGGCACGTGAGAGTTCATGGGGTCATAAGACTTCCTTAAAAGAAAAAAAATCTTGACAGGCGTTCATCATTCATCATCTGGGGCATAAATCTCCATGTGTAATATAATCATCAGGTCAGGGAACCGGGATGAAAGAGAACGGAAGAAGGGAAGTTGTAGATTGAGTCCTGTTTACCCAACATCATCTCCTCCTCTGTACAACACCTGAGAGCTATTTAGAGTTCGCAGGGCTCTAACTGTAACCGTTCTGTCCGGAATAGAACGGAGTCAAAGTGATTGGTGCCAATTAGAGGATGACGACGTGCTCGGGGTAGGTCACGCCTCCTCCTTCCCCGCCCCCTACATGCATCACAAGGAATGAGAGGCTTTTTTGTTTCAGAAAGAAATGTTACTCGGCCTCCCCGCTGCGGGAATCACGCTTTCAAGCCATGCATTCACCTGAACCGGGTTGCTGAAATGAAATCCGTTGTCACGCTGTAAACCCAGTATCTGACACGACAGGAGGGCAAAGGGCGGATGGATGCAATGAGGTCATGGTATCTTATTCAATTCTAGAGTAAAAGATCAACCTTACTCGGGTAGGGTGGTTGCAGCTCATCTCAGGTGGACCAGCTATTGAATGGAGCTGCTTCCATTTCAATTGACTGAACTCTGGTCGTTCAAATCCAAAATACTTTTCATCGACACTATTTCCGGTTTCCTTAAATCGGTCGAGGCTGAGTGGATCCTTTCAAGTAGTGAAACGCCAGTTTCCTTGGGCTCCGTATGAGACGTGAACGAGTATTTCAGCACTGGCAGGTGGGGAAGTGAGATTATGCCGAGAAGGGCACGTATGCCATGCTCGTAACCGGAGTGCTGTGTGTGGCACACATTCAGACTCTTGCCTTCCTTCTCTTATGCGGCGGCCATGTGATTGCGAAGTGTGTGTGGGTGGGAGGGGGAGGATAGGAACCAGGAGGTTCTGGAGAATCTGCTTGGCTCTCGGTGACAAAAAGAAAGTAAGAAAGTTATAGCATATTCATACGTGAGCAAAATGCGAACCAGCATATCTCACTACCTGTTCTTTCACCTGGTGAAAAACGTACCATAAAAAATAACTTGACGGCCCTTCCTAGGCGGAGATACATGTTAGAGCAGAGGCGTAAACCCTCCTTATTCTATGAGCAAGAACCATCTGCCCTGTCCATAGAGAGGGATGTGGGAGGGAGTTCTCGTGTGCCAAAATGTGGGTGTCGGTGGGAGCACGTGTAACTCGGGAAGATCCTTTTCATCTTTTGTTTCTTTCATCACAGCCGAGGATATGCAAATGTCGCCATCCATGAATAACAATGAATAACATTACGACAATATAAGAAAAGCCTAAAAAGCTACCTTCACCTCAATACTCGTTTTCGTTTAATTTCTTTTTGCAATGACAAAAGTAGATTCATTTCAATGTTTCTACCCGAGGCTTTCCTGACTTGAGCTGAATATCCTTTATACGAGACGAGACAGGGTCTTGCTGCATGGGCGAGCTCGTTCTGTCTGCCTAGAATGATGGAAATGCGAATGAGCAGCTGCCGGGGGTGGGGTATTGTAAAAGGTGCACTATACGATGCTGGCTCATGCACTTCCTCCATGAGACTATTATAGCTGCCCTATTCGATGTTCCCAGATGCTCTTTTCCGAACGGGATGAGAGTGATAGTAAATTAGGCATGAGTCTAATAAAAGGGTGTGGTATTCAATGCAGTGTGAAGAATGTGTAGTTGGTGGAAACCGAATATGTACGAATGGTGGACTGGTGTTGATGTTTGGCTGATGCCGATTTGAGCATGTATCTACATGGTGGCTGAGAAGTAAATTCCTAATTTTAAACTTCATTATGTTACCAACGAAGATTAATATATGTGATATCTTTAAGTGTTGTTAATATTTGGGTCGTTTCCCTTGAGATGAACAATGGCAAAGAGTCTCTAAATTTACATTTTCACGTGCCGTTGCCGTTTAGACATGGTAAAAATTGGGACGGTGTAACTGAGGAAAAAAAACGGTTTTCTTCCCTCTCTCAACCTGTCAGAAAATTCCGGTAAAGATTAGGGGAAAAAGCGGTTAGATTTGGACGAATGAGGGGGTAACGTTTTGTATGGGAGGGATTTCGTTAGATTCACTACCTTTGATATACGATGCCGGTATTGACTCTTTCACCATTCGACATAATAATAGAAGTGGTTATACATGACTTCCTTTGCCCACACCCATCCATTTCCAGAAGGTAATCTCAGAACTTAAAAATTGCTTCTTTGTTGTGATTGCGCAGATATCCGACTGCAGTTGAACGAGCAATTGCGATGCCTGGATACCCGGTTGGAGACACAAGTCGGAATCGTGTACGAACTCCAGGATTTCTTCCGTCGAAAGGCCGAAGTAGAATCCGAATATTCTAAGGCCCTCGACAAGCTCTCCAAGACCCTGCTCCTCAAGCACAAGGAGCAAAAACAAAAGTAAGAACGAAAAAATAAACTTCCTAATTTCTTCTTTTTTTTCTCCATTTTCCACTGCTAATGGTCGCGTATGGAGTGGGATGAATTAGTCATCAAAGTCATCATCGCCGTCCCAAAGGATCTCAATTTGCCATCCCGAGATTGGTTTTTAATTGCACATAAATCTCGTCGGCCATCTCGACGTTCAAGGGCGGACGAAGGTTCGTGGAATGCAATTGAGATGGGCCAGTCGAATGAGATGATGATGAATCTCTCCTCATTCCCGAGTACTCAATCTCCGGGATCAGCAAAGCGAGATGGAAAGGGATGTCCCTTGGGCCACATACACGTGGATGGCTTCGAGCGGGGAATATGCAGAGGTCGATACCGCCAACTTTTTTTTGAACCGGAATAGCGAAGGAAGGCATTGGGGTCCGTCCCCCCCCCCCCCCCCATGCCTTCCTTCGCTATTCGGGGGGGGGACATAAGCCAGATGACGACTCATATTGGAAGCCGTAAGATCTGGTTTGTATCAGGGTTCTTCGAAGGAAAACGTACTTAGCGGTGATGTGGGCGAAGAAATGGCACTCGGGTTCATCGTATACTCCCTTGATGGAATGGCTTTCTTTTGTTTCCATCGCTCACTTTCTCTTCCCTTCAGGTGCCGCCCATGCACTGACTGGAGTTACGCACCCATCACACTAGCAGACGAGCTGATGGGAATCCGAGAATTTTGTGTGTGTTTGTTTTTATACGGTAACCTGCCAATTAATAGCCCTAATTACGATATTTCAGGTATTTGGTCTTTGTTTGATCGACTGAGATCGATGTCATGAATGATGAATCTCCCATCCTCGGCCGCAGCAGATGCCAATGGCCGCCTTTCAGCGCTCCACTTTCCGTGTTTTCAATCTGACCGATATTGGTTTCAAGCTATGACGAGAAGAGAGAGAATATTGAGGGTTTCAGGAAATACTGGGAAAAAAAAACAATGATGATCAGATTTTACAGTTGTAAAGCTGAGGCCATGGATATCAGGAGTAGTCGCCGTGTGACACTAGATAATCAGAAACTGACGGTCTGTTTAACGCTGAAGTGCTCAAAGACCTAACAAAGTCAGAGAAGTAGAATTGCGGTCAAACAAATCAGAGGTACGTATTGTCTCGATTTCCTTGAGTCACAAAAAACTGATGGAACCGCGTCAGTCTCCTGCGAAGGAACTGGACGGCTTGAAGGCGAAGAAGGTGAACTTCGTGTACGAGTCCGCAAATTGTTTGTCAGGCACAATCAATATCTCCAAAAGAATCGGGAAAAGTCAGGGAAATTGATTCTTCTGAGATATATGTCTCGTGCCTGATGGCACGGTCATGTGCATGTATCTGTGCGCATCTGTGTGCATGAGATAAAAGACTTTGAAGTTACTAGTGGTTGATGAGGATTGCTGTTGTTAGGCGCGAGGGATGGAGTTTGTTCTCGACCTCCGGTTGCTGGAAGGAGTTGGTGGATAGCACGAGGCGTGAAGGCCGCGACCATGCTGCTCTCGCCGACATCTATTCCACTCACCTCGTCCAGAAACTCGCCGCCATCGCTGACGACCTCCAACGGGTTTATCGAAGGGTGAGACTTGTCTGTCATAATTATTGAAGGGTGGGAATCCATACATCCATTCTGCATGTTTTGTGAGGATTCTCTTCCGCTTAAATCGCTTACTAGTCAGTCCTACCTTCCTCCACCGGCTATCTGGGCGTTATTGAGAAGGAAGACAATGAAAAACAAGGACATCAGTGACGGGGAAAGCCATTAATTTCTGTTTCGGAGGGAAAGGTCAAATGACACAATTCTTGCTCGTGTCCTCAGGCCTCGCGTCGCGGAATTCAGGCTGTAGAAAGAGAAAAAAAAAACCGTCGGGGCTTTCTTTGAAGTGTTATCTGGAGGGCCATAAAGTGAGATGTGAGGAATCGATTCTCAGTGAAGGGAACCCCTTCTGCCTTTTCTCTCCGGTCCTGGACAATTTTCTTTCCTTTCACCATGACATTGGTTCAGTTTGTAGGCCTTCTACTTATTATACAGGTTTTCATGGACCACCCAGGAAATTCACTGTTAGTCCTTAACGAGGTTGTATTTTACAACACCGGTCCGAACCGGTCGTGGACCTGCGAGAAGAAAGTGCCCTGAAAAAAAAAAGGTTGTACAAGGGTATGGGGTCAGAACGAAGCAGTACTACATCACCTAGTAAATGAAGTTTTTTCTCCCTCCCCGTGGTTCCGTTTTCTCTTCTCGTCCCCTTCGAGCTTTTCCCTTTGCTTCTTTTATTTCTCATTCGTTCTCCTTTTCTTCTTTTGCTTCTTGTTCACGGAGAATGAGAACACGGTGATTTCAATGGGTGAATACGTACTTGACATGAATTTTCGTCGTGGCGCTCTTTGTACTCCTCCCGTGGAGCCTTTGAGGAGCTGAGAAGGGCGTAAAAAAAAGTTAACGTTTGAGTTCATATTTGAGTCGGAGAATAATCCTGTCGAACAGGTTCACAAGCAATGCAGACTAGAAGTTTTGGACCTCCGTTTCCACTAACGGAACAATCCCAAGAATGTGTGTCTATTGCGTGGTCCGGGCTGTAAAGTGAAATCGCAGTGACAGCTAAAGTGAACGTTGGGGGCCATTCACAAAAAATATCATTGACGGAAAGCTGGTAACGGTTGCATTTACTGGGTGAGATTAGGGGGAGGTGGTTTTTCACCTCTATGGTATTATTGCTGGAATACTTAGAATTGATCCCAACATAACATTTTATACTATGTGAATGGATTCATTTGGAGATCATTGCCCCTGAGCAGCGGCGTTGCGTCGGGGGGCCAGGGGGAACATGTGACTTTTCAAATAAAGAAGGAAAATACACATGAAATGCATGATAATATCCTAGAGTTCCCGTGCCCTCCTTCCCCCCCCAACTTTTTATTTCCACGCTACGCATATGCACCTGAGTAGATTTTAAGGTCTCTCCTCGTTTTTGTCCTATCTTTTGCTGTAAAGTAGTAGCATCTTCTTGCAGTGTCGAGAGATCAGTTACGAGAACCACGAGGAGATCCTGAAAGTCCTGCATGAGCTCCACACGACGATGAAGACATACCAATCCTACCAGGCCGAGTTCAAGAGTGCTGAGAACAAACTAAGGGTAGCCCAAAACCAACGGCTGAAGTTGGAGCAAACCATCGCTCCTGAAAAGCTCCAGAAGAGCAAGAAATTCAGGCTAATTGAGAAGGAGATAGATAAGGTGACTTCCAGGTTGCCCCTCTCCCCTCGCTTGTTCTGGCTATTCTCAGAGTGAGCATTACATTGTTTCTTTGCAGAGGAAGAACAAGTACAATGATGCCCGGCTGAAAGCATTGAAGGCTCGGAATGACTACCTCCTCTCCATGGATGCTGCTAATGCTTCCCTGCACAAATATTTTGTTGATGATCTGTCAGATATCATTGATGTGAGCTACCTGATCTTTCTTCTGGTTTCGAAGTCCAAGAATGCTGTAATTTAATTAAATTGTTAAAGTTAGATAAAAACTGAGCAGAAATAGATATGAAAATCATGTGATGTTATCTTTCTATGCTTCATATAGTATGAATTCAGATCCTAATCAGTTCACTCTTGAAGCTATCCTTTCCTCCTCTCAAATAGTGCATGGATTTGGGGTTCCATCAAGCTGTGGCTAATGCGATTGGGATTCACCTGGCTGCAGAGGAATGTATAAAGCAGTCAAAACAGTTGAGCATCGATGGGATGAGTACCTGCATTGGAGGTTTTGATTCCCGCCTTGATAAGCAGAAATTCCTTGAGGCTAACAACCAGGCCTTCATGATCCCCAAGAAGTTTGAGTTCCAGGGACCAAAGGGAGATGATGTGGGTTGTCTTCTCATTTTTCTTCTGTGTTTATTCATCATCAGGTTTTTGACGATGTTGGATTTTTGTTCCAGCCAATGCAGATTAGTGTCACAGATGGTGTGAAGGAGGATGTGGAGGGAAGATTCAAGCAACTGTGCAAGCGACTGACAAAGCTGAAGACAGAGTCAGAAGAGATCTGGAAGACCCTGGAGACTGCAGAGAAGAAACTTCTAGAGATGGTTTCGGAAGTGGACTTCAATGTTCAGTGTCAGTTTGTGGACAGTGCTGAAGGGAAGCTAACAGAGGCTGAAGCAGCCAAGAAGCGAGCTCAGCTTCTGGAGACAGAAGACTTTCACCTGGCCAAGTTTCGGAAGTATGTCCTCGAGGGGAACTTGATTGCTCGTCTTGAGGCCAAGTATGAGCTGATGAGGAATGCCTTAGGCAACGATCTGGCCGAAGCTGTGTCAAAAGGTCAGGGTCATCATCTCTTGGCAAGTCTCCCTGCCAAGCCAAGACGGAAGCGCATTGGTCGTCCACTCACTGTTGGACAGCCAAAGCTCTTTGGCGGAAGCCTAGAAGAGTATTTGGAAGCCACTGAAGAGGAGATCCCACTGATTATGAAGAGTTGTATACGTGTTATCAATCTCTATGGTATGAATCCTCACACTAGTATTAAACACATCCATATTCATTCCCATCAATTTATAGAAGCTTTAATAAGCATGGGTGCTCATCAGGATGGCATTTGTAACAAGATCTGAAGTTTACATGGTCTTTCAGTTGGTTCATATGGCTGGGTCAAACCTTTCCATGTTTTAATCTCATTTCGCCATTAACTGGGCCTAAACATGATCCCTCATGGGAAATGCATGCCAGTTTATTCTTTCATCTATATTAGTATGTACAGTTTGGTTTTTGCATAGAATTCTTGGGTGGGGCTCCATGCATATCTGAGTTAATATTTTGCTTAGTGTAGGTATCAGTTCTCTCATTTAGCTTAGTTTTGTGTCTAGCTTGATACAAATGGTGCCCTGCATTAATATTTTGATTAATTTAATTAATTTGATTTAATTAATTTGATTTAATTAATTTAATTAATATTAATATTTACCAGAACATAGTAAAAAGATAGGAAATCTCAGGGAATGACAACATTGAATTGGATCTTGTGTGTAATTGATATCCAATTACAGAACAAATGATATCACATGGTAAGTTACAACTCAGTCATGCAAGCAGCTTATTTTAATTTGTATTATTTGGAGTTTTTGATCAAAAGTAACTTTTATGCATGCCCATTATATAATTATAATACTATTTCTGTGTGAATGAGGATTGGAAACTAAAATATGGAAATATATGATTAATTTTTCAACAACAATAGGCTACTGACTGATCAACATTTTATCCCATCATTCATGGGCTGTTGGATCAATTAATCAAATTGCTATATAATAGTAAATGAAAGAATAGATTACAAAGCGTTTGTGTGTCTGTCCATTATGCATGGCCACACCTTTGATCACAGTCTGACTTGACTTTGCATGGCTTCCTCACTTGGTCCAGGGATGGTCATAGGCTAGGTGGTGTTTAAAAACTCGGACTCCCTGCAGTAACCTTGTTTGTTTAGTGCAGATTTGGCTGATTCACTATCACTACTATGGACTCCCCAAGTAGTCAACATTTTGGGGGCTCATTAAACAAATTAAGTTGTAACATGCAGCTTGCTACTGGAATTTTGCAATTGGTTACATATTAAAAGCTACATATTTTAAACAATTTCTAGCTAGGTTTGCCAAAGAGACATTAAAACAATATTAAACCTTCAATCATGGGACATAAACAATATTCACCCACCTCTGCTAGTTGATTTATAGTTCTTCAGAATCCTGCAAAGAAAACATGAAATTCTGAAGGAGACCATGGACCTATCATTTGGTGTGTTATCATTTTTGAGATGATAATGCCATCCTGTAATTTTTTAAAAGAATTGAATACCATGGAAAGAGACTCTTTAGACTTTTAGACTTTAGACTCTTAAGTCTAAAAAATATTATAGCAAAATCTTGCAAACTCCATAACATCATGGTCAGCTGATACAAAAGCACTAATGCTTGATATTTTGTCATTTGTCAGACATCATGAGAAGGTTTGGGGATGCTGGAACTAATGTACTTTCTTGTTCCATCTCCATTAGGACTTCATCACCAAGGGGTCTTCCGTGTCTCAGGATCTCAAGTAGAAATCCAGCACTTCAAGGAGGCCTTTGAGAGGGGTGAGGACCCCTTAGTAGACATCAGTGATGCTTCAGACATAAACTCTGTGGCTGGGGTCCTCAAACTTTACCTTCGACAACTCCGAGAGCCTCTCTTCCCCATAGTCTTCTTTGATCAGCTCATGGAACTTGCTCGTATGTCCTCCCAAATGTGAAATGAGTACTACTACTTTTATTGACTTTCTTCATGTATGACTGACTTGATTCTGATGTCTTTTAAGAACTGGAATCCAAACACGAGTTTGTGATGCGGGTGCGGAGTATGGTGCAAAACCTTCCTCGACCAGTGTTTGTTGTCATGCGCTATCTCTTTGCCTTCCTCAACCAGTGAGTTTTTTCTTTCTCGGTTAGATGGAGTAATTTTAATTTGAATCATGACATACATTTGTTTGCATTTGGCAGCCTGTCAGAATTCAGTGATGAGAACATGATGGACCCATACAACTTGGCCATCTGCTTTGGTCCAACCTTGGTTCCAATACCTGAGGACAAGGACCGGATTCAGTTTCAAAACCTTGGGAATGAATTGGTCAAGAACATCATCATCTACAATGAAGATATCTTCTCCAATGATGGTGGTATAATGTATGAGAAGTATATCTCTTCCTCCATGCCTGATGAAGGGTGAGGATTTTCTTCAAAGTCCTTTCTTGATGTTGACATGTGAATTCTTTTAAATTGAAAATGGTCAATGACTGCAGTTCGATTGCAAGAAGAGTAAAGAGCAATTATCTTTTCACACTATGGGAATGAATACATCTGTACACTTACCATACCATTTAGTAAAAGATGCTGAGGTGATTGTAGATGATGATGATGTAAATGAAGGTTCTGCATTTTTTTTTGTCTTTGCCCCTTAGTGATGTGGGAGAAGCTCCAGACCAATCCCATGAAGACCTGGACTCGGAGACCTATCCCTCAGAAGATGGTGAGTTAATGTAACCTCAGGAATTGATGGCTGCAATGCTGCTCCATAGATACTTCCACAACTGTTATTTTCTGTGCTTTCTGTGAGTTTGACCCAGTATGGTTTTTTACACCCTCACAGATGCTGCTTCCAAAGAGAAGGATATCAGCCTTCAGCTTTTTACTAGTGAGTGTCCTCTATCCTTGTTCTGCATCTTGTGTTGTTTCATTCCTTTTGCATGATAGTGCTGCTATTTGTTTCCACGATTTTTCAAATGACAAAATTTCTTATATACACTACTAAAAAAATTAAAGGACCACTTTTTCAAGTTCAAGGCATATTCCATTAAAACTCTATGCATGTTGACATGTATGCAGATCACTGTAATAACTCATTAAAAGTGGATGCAATTGAACCCTTTGTTTACATGACAAATTTCATGAAGGTTGTTGTAACCTTTATTGTTGTTTTGATGGCATTGAAAAAGTGATCCTTTAATTTTATTACAACTTTGATTACAAGGTTGATTTGACAGATTTACTGATTACAAGCCTCAGCTTGTAATCAGTAAACCTGATCAAAAGTCATTGCTCTTAGCTGTTTAAAAAAAGCAATTGTAATGGCAATTTAAAGCATTTTCATGACCTGTATGAATGGAATCATCAAGCTGTGAGGGAAAGAAAATTTCTTTTACAACATTGGTGCCCACTGTCAGTGGAAGAAGCACAGAACAAAATCAATATCCCTGCCCTTACATTTTTTAAATGCCAGATTTGTAAACTTTCAAATGTTATTTATTTATGAGTAGCTGGGGTCATTCTTCAACCCTCAGTCTCAAATTAATTTGGCTGTTTTTCTTTACTCCTTTTGCATAAAACCATTCATAATCTTACCCTATGGAAACCAACTCTGAATTGATTGTTTTTTCTCATGGAAAATTGAGTATGACTAGTCTATTGGTTGTCATGATTACCAGTAGTGAACCATGTCTGGTAGATCCCCTGCTTTAGGAAAAAATTGCCTTAAGGATGAACTTATTGGTGAAACAGGTGTTAAAAAAAATTAAAAACTGCTTTTTATGAACTCTTTATTTGAAAGCAGTCTTAAGGAAAATTGAAGGATGAGGAATAATGCCTGGTTTTTGATATGCCATCTTATAGGTCATGGATGAAGTGGAATAATGAATGAATTTCATTGTTGATGTTTCATTGTTTTTCAGAGTCTGAAGTTCTGGAGGCAGTGGCCCAATTTGACTTCACAGCGAGGACACCTCGGGAACTGTCTTTCAAGAAGGGTGAAACTCTGACCCTCTATGCCCAGGTCTCCTCTGATTGGTGGAGAGGCTCTTCCCTTGGACAAGATGGGCTCATCCCTGACAAGTACATCCTCCTCAAAATCAGGTGCATTATTCTCATTCATCTGAACTTTTATTAACCATCTCAATGCTACCAAAATCTGCCCAGATGCTCCCTGAACTGACCAATAATTACAATTTTAGCCTAATCTCAATAGTGCCCTCTTATGCATTAGGCACATAACACATTACACATCTTGGCAATTTCCATAGCCTCTATTGGCAGGGTCAATTGTCCTGAAGTGTGACAGCTTTGCTTAGCCTAGTATCCCATTCATCAGTGTTCCCCAAGCTTTTAGAGGAGAGGGCCACATAGTTACTCTGGTCAACCTGGAGTGGGCTGCATAAAAAAAAAATTAACATATTCACAAAGCTAAAAATGCAAAAGTCAATACTTCGTACTTGAAGGAAATGTACCCCTATTTCGGGCCTTCAACTTCCCACCCTTCTGATGCCCCAACCCTGAAGCAGTCAAACATGCCTCTATTAGTTTCAGTGCAAATCAAAGAAGCCTGGATAAAGCAGACTTGATGATTGTTGGGATAATTCATGTATAATTCGATTTTGGCATTTCTCATTTCATCATTTCTCATTTCATCATTTCTCATTTCATCATTTCTCATTTCATCATGTGACTACTTTAAATTTTATTTGTTACAAAGTGCCTCTGGGCCATGTGTGGCCCAAGGTTCACACTTTGGGGAGATACCTTTGCCATTCACATACAGTGATTTTGGCTTTACTATTACCTACCTACCCCCTTCCTCTGGCCCTGTTGTCAACAGGGCTCAAGAAACATTCAGTGATTGCAATTGTCATTAGTGGCAAAGGGTATAGTATTGAGTCAAGCCCATGGAACATCCTTTCCTGAGTGAGGGAACTGGTGCTTCACAATTTTAAGGTAGAACACATAGAAAAGTATGAGGCACCTTAAACATAAGGAAAGTCAATCTGAATACATTGTGTATTGTGTCTCCAGTCTGATGTCTCAATGATCACTACATTTTCCTGTTGGGTTATAAACATCATTTTGCCCTATGGGTTTCAACTCGTACAGATTCAACTATGTATTTTTTGTCAATTGTGATGGAATAAATTATCACCCCTGGAAATCTGCCACTTAATGAATCTGATTCTGTCACTTCTACATGTTATAAAAGGCCATCCATTAATATGAAATCATAGGTTCCACTTAGCCCTGAATTTTGTTACTGATCAAAATACTGGCACATTTTATTAGACCATTGCTATCACTGTTTCAGACATTTTCATCATAGCTTTTACTTCAGGTTCATCATAGATGAAAACAGTGCTTCTGAGATGATGGGACCAGAACTGATTTACTGTGTATACTTATTGCAGGGATGAGGACAGAGAGAGGGTGGAGCCAAGAGCACCATGTGAGGATGGAGTGAGGCGTCGTGCATCAAGCTCAAGTGATTCAGTGCTCTCTGGTCAACCAGGGGGGAATGTTCAGTATGCATCAAGTGAGACGAGTGAGATGCCATCATCCTCGTCACGAAGCAAGTCCCTTGAAGGAAGTACCGATAGCCTATCTCTAGATGAGTCCAGTCTGGGGCCAGGGGGACGACGGCGATCTTATGAGGTACTTCTCACCCATGTCTAGCTGTGATCATTCATTCCCACTTTAGGTTCGTTGTGCCCCCTTCGTTATGATTATGACTCAGTCATTCTTCTTTGCCTTCTTTCTTCATTATTCATCTTCACCATCTTTTAGTCTGACTTGTTTGTTTTTCAGGAATTTGTGCATATATAATAGCATGTGTAATATGTGATGGATAGAGGCTCTGAGACTTTTCCTTGCATGAAAATGCAAATTCAGTAGATAGTGCTGAGGTGAGGGACCTCAGTTCAAGGTTGAGCTCTAGTTTAATTGATTTAATGCTGTATATACTGATTAAGGAAACAATAATGGGATTCTTTCAAGAAGTCAGTGCTAGGTGTGGAGAAGGAAGAGCTTGATTTTCCTGAAGGCTCTGATGTGATAGACAAGTATGTAACTTTTAATGGCATCTCATTTGGGTCATTCAGCTAGTAGAAAAGGCAGGACATATCCTGGCAACCATACTTCGAGTTTGTGGTTTTTTAATTTCACATCAAGTATTAATTACATGAGCCAAGCAGAAGGTAGATAACTGCTACATGGAATCTTGATTTCCCTTCCGGTGATGAGGTAATGCAAATGCAGGTCAGTGGATTGAGTATGACTTTCATAAGTGATATTCCCAAATTGCTGCCAATTTGATCAACAGGGGTCCTTTTCATGGAGGTTAATACACAGAAGTGCAGTAGATATATACAGTAATTTGAAGCATGATATGTTTATAACAGATGGACTCAAGGCAGGATAACCTGCAAAAGAACTATGGAGAACAGTGGGGAAACTTTTCATTTGACTGTAATTGCAAATCTTTGAATTTGGGTTGCTTGTCCTTGTTCCCCATGTAATGCAATTTAGTGGCTTATCTAACATTCAGGTCTATAATAAAAGCATTGTGATATTGGTGAAGTAGAACTTATACAATGGAGGATGGACTTGACTCTGTCCTTCCTCTAGCCTCTAGCTGTTGGATCAGTTTTGGAGATATGTTTGGAAAAAAATTTCTTCTCTGACTTTTATGCAAATATGATTAAGCTATTAATGCACAGAGGTTCATTATGATATATGGTGATGAATTGCACACTTGTCTGAATTGGTAGATAGGTGTCAGTTCATGATGTAAAAGCTCAGAGCTGTAGATTTGAGTCCCAATTTAACCCTTTTGTTGCTGGATTTTAAAATGCCTTGCTGGCCTGTGGCCATACATGCACAGCCTTATTACCAAAAGGGTTAACATGGTGACAATGAGTAGTTGACTGAGCTTAGATGCTGCCATAAAACTGTTGCTGTAGCTGTTAGAGCATCCCTGACAGCTATAACATCATCTGTAACATAAGGATTTTACCTTGAGGTGCAACACAAATTTAGCATTCAGAAGTTGCTCTCAAGACATTTTTAGGAGTAGACCAACTCTAGAAAGCTTCATGAGTGGTACCTGGTGGGTGATAGATGGAAATTTTTATTGTGACCCTGGACTAAGCATGTCAGCTTGACATATGCCTTGTCTAGGGTCTTGTCCTTTCTTGACAGCTCAAAAGTTTGTGTGAAAAAGTGGGTTGACACGATTGTGTTACATTGTAGCCTCCGCCAGTGGAAGTTTTGCTGCAGAGTTAATGCTCAGCATTAGGATCATCAGAATGAGCATGACTGGTGGTGGCAGAAAAGACTGTGATATCAATTTTGCTTGTATCAAATTGTCACCACATATCTTAACACTTTTGCTCCAGAGGGTGGGACAGAAGTTTTTTGAAGTTGGCAAAAAAAGTTTATAACTTCAGAATGAAAAATGTTAGAGACTTGCTCTTTTTTGGACATAGAAGTATAAGGTCCCTATTTTATTGTGGGAAATTATGTAAAAATGTGAAAAATTTCAAAGGGCTTACTATTGCATCCATCGTTGGTTGATGCTAATTAAGGCTGGATGTACATTTATGCCCATTGGATCGAAAGTGTTAATCAACCTTCACATCTGCTTCCTGCAATTATATGGGCAATATCCAAAACCAGTTGTGCAAATTTCTAGACATCCCCTTTTTAGTTTTTTAAATTTATTTGTCTGTTGTAAGCACTTATCCAGCATTCTAGGCATCTGCATGAAAGCTCTTCCAAAACATAACTCAGGATATGCACAGGCTTCAACTGATGCAATGCCAACTTCATTGTTACTAGCATATGTTTTTTCTAATGGACATCAGTGTTAGGCAAGACATGGACATTACTATTCTGTTAGTTAAGGCCTGTGCATGTGGTTAAATATATTCTCAATATTTAAATAAGTAAGGTCTCATGCTTGTTGCCCTGCTTGTTGGCTTTAATAGAAGAGTGACAAGTGACAAGAGTGACATTCATTTATTGCAGTTGAATGAATACTAGAAATAAGAATTTATTGCTTTCACAGACTGCAGAGGCCTATCCAGAGGAACAGGAAGATGACCAAGAGGAAGAGTACAAAATTGAACCAGCTGTTTTAAGAGATGCCAAGCCAAGACAAAATCCCAAAGATGAAGACAAAGACACTGGAAGTGCAGAGAGCCTGAGTCGCCTGTCAGACTTGGAAGCAGATGAAACACAGATGGAGCTGGATTCAGCACTAGCACAGGTATTATCAGCAGCCCGAACATTGGAAGAGCCAACAATGGAGGCAATGGCTTTTGAGCCCCAACAGTCCTGGGAACCCCATCCCATCTTGACCAGCAAGAGTGCAGCAACATTACCTGCTATGGGGGCATCTCATCGACGTCATCAGAGTTTGGAAGCATCCCCTCGCATTTGCATCGTCAGCCGATACGAGCCATCTTCAGATCTGTCATTGGATGGGACCAACTTTCGTGCCAACCAGAGTCTCTGGGAGCAGCGGGCCAATGGTGGCAAAGCTGCTCAGTCTCAACCACTTCTTGTCGGATCCCCCAGCCCCAAAATTGGGAAAAGACGAGAGCTGTGGGACCAGCATAAGAAACTGCAGAAGCAAACTCCTGATCTAGTGATGGACTTACCCATTGACACTCTGCTCAGTTCTAGTCCCAAGTCCGAGTGTGCAAGTGAATCAGACGATGCAAGTGAGCAAGAGTCTTCATCGTCTGTGAATCTCGATTCCCCAGAAGTGAGTGCAGCTGAACGGTTTGCCAAATCCAACCAATGCACCCTGAAAAAGAACCGAGGCAGTGGGTCAGGTCAGGCTGGGCCAAATGGAGTTGATGCAGGGACTCAGACCCAAGTTCCTGCTTCAAGGAACTCTGGAGTCAAGGAAATGGCAGACGAGACTGCATCTCAGCAACTTTTAGATGCACCACCTGAATTCCAGGGTCCAAGAGTGATGTCTCGATTCCCTCAGTTGGCCCAGGCTGCATCTACTGCTTCTGCATCACAGCAGTTGACCCCAAGGCCACATGTGAAGGTGAAACCCCAGGTGCTGAAAAAGCCCTCACTCCCACAAAAGCCATCACCCGAATTGTCTCGAAAGAATCTGTGAAAGATCTCGTCATCATTGTGCACTGCTCTGATATTTTTTGTTTTCTAGTCTATTTGGCAGAGCCGCATTTTTGTCCTACTACTATCCCTCCCAAAGAATCTCTGGCTCTGACTCTGAGAATGGTAGAATCTCATCTCATACAAACTGGTTTTCATCCTTTCTTTTTCTTCGGTTGGTGCTATTTGAATGTGGAGAAGGAAGGTATCTTGTGGTTTTTTCATAGTATCTATGAGAAATGATGTGCCAGGCCAATGTCTTCCTCCAGCGCTTCATCTTCCGCTCACACAAACAGATGGATACTTGCTTCCTTCTCATGAAATCCTGTATTTTTGTATTCTTTATCTTTCGTACTGTATTCAATGATCTTTTTTGTCCTCCAGTATTTGGTATGCAATATGCATTGTGAGTGTGCTAGCAGATAATGAAATCATTTTCCCTGGTATATGTGGTATCATTAACAAGGCTTTTTTTTTTCTTAACTCCCAATCTGTGAGTAAAGCCCAAAATTGTTCAAAAGGGTGATTTTCCTGACATTTCAGAATAAGTTCTAAATATGCCAAGACCAAGATACTGTATGCCAATTGATCAGCTGACAACAACTCAAGTTAGATGTAGAATAGTATCTGTAAAAACCACTTTCTCTCCTGAGTTTCAAAACATCACCAAATAAAACCACATCTAGTTCACTCAAGCTGGCTCACAGCAAGCATCACAATTACATAGAATGCAGTGCATCTTGATGTTTCAATTTTATTGTGCCCATGTGTCAATTTTAATTGACAGTGCTAATTTGGATGCCTGAGCAGCCCTCTACTTCAGGCAATTGAGGCTAGAGACGTGTGAGCACGTGTTAGGCAGGAAAGGGTATGCGTTTGTACCTTGCTCCTGCTCTTGCAAGACACAAATGGTGAGACCAGTTTCCCCACCGACATAGTGTTGGCAAAAAATAAAGTATGATTCATTCTTTGTCCCTCGATGGCATTGAATCTCTTGTTTCACAAGAGGAGCTTACCTGACTTGGAATTTCCCTATGGAACTTGCTCAGACTTGCTATGGACTTACTTGTTCAGAGTGAGAAAATGATGTAGAAAATATGACCAGTACTGGAACTCTACCAAAAGGGTAGCATATCCTAGACCAGGGGTGTCAAACTCAATCAGTCGATGGGCTGCATTCCTTACCCTGGAGATGCCTGCAAGCCACACCCATTATTTTCCACCGAAATTTGTGCTAAGAGTCAATCCAAGTGGATATTTTAAGAACAGCCTGATGTTTGACACCCCTGTCCTAGACCATGACTAACAAGACCTAAGTAGGACAGGAACAGAGTTGCATATGTACCAGAGGAAATCCCAAAAAGCTTTCCACAGCAACCTGAGCAAGATTGAAAACTGGAAGAAGAATATTACCAAAGGAGCTACACATTTTATTGTGAGGGCAATCCTGCATGAATCCTATCAAGTGAAAAAGCTTATCCTGTTCACAAAATTCAAGTCTTTGAGTACATAGTTGTATAATTTGTTCCAACAGGAAGACCAACTTCCTCCCCTGTAAAATCCAATATAGTGAAAAGTCCTTCATAGACATCAAAAAGTGAGTCCACTCCAGTCCGAACCACCCCCAGCTCATGCATTCTCTGAAAGGGCAGGGCCTGTGCATAAACAGGGTGTTCCATAAGTCACTATACCATTTCAAACTGCAATATTTTCCAAACTACAACATACAACTGTTGGTATTGATGGAAATAACTTTTTTTTTAAATTTTTTTTTCCTGACAATGACTTGGAATCAGACTCAAACCAAAATAGTTTAAAATGCATATTAGAAAGGTGTACTTGTTAAGGGACATTTTTGGTACACCTTGTTCAATCTCCTACAAAATTGCTAAATTTTATGTTTTTCTCATCTAATTTCAGATAGACTTGAGAAAGAGAAAAAATATATATATTTCATTTAATTTGCTTTCACTGTCGAGAAAAGGTTTCACAATTGACACTGGAGTAATGAAAAAAAGTTGCAACCTGGATGGAGATCTTAGAGAGTCCCGTCAGAGTTCAAAGGGAGTTCTGGCAATTTTTTGGTGCTGAGCCTCATACCAAATGTATTGATATAGGCAGGGGGCATTTTGAGGCACTTTCAAAACATAGAAATATCTCAATTTTTTTTTTACAAAGATAATTCTAAATGACATGCTATCTTTCAGTTAATGACACTAAACAGTTGATGAAAAAAAGAAGTGTGATTTTTTAAAATGGTATAGTGACATATGGGACACCCTGTATACTGAAGAAGCCCACCCCCTCTCTCCAATCTGAAGTGACATGCTGCTGGTAAGAGGGTCATAAACTAGTTTATCTCATGACCTAGCCTCACACTCAACAAGCATTTCTCTTTTCCTTCCCTTTCCTCTCCAACACCCAGACCCCTTTGAATTTTCCTTATTCCTTCCTTCACCTTTGCAATGAGTTAATAAAAAATCCTCATTTAAGGTCCTTCCATCTCCTTTCATCTGATTTATATATCATTATCTTTTTCATGTAAATGAGTCCTTCATCAAAGAAACTGAATTAATTTCAGGGTAAGTTTCTCATGAAAAAGTATGAATTCCTATACACATTGGAATTCATGCTCAAGGACAGCTTGCTTATGGGAAAATGCCAGGGAATTTTCTCTTGTTCCAAAATAAAGGCAGAGGCAGAATGCGAAAAACCAGATTAAAATTCCTACCTTAAAGTAGACAAAAATTTTCTTTCCCTTCACTTCAATTTTTGTATCATACAAGATCATTAGTGGGGAAATGAAGGCAACATAAAGCTAGGAATGACATCATGAAAGCTTGCTGTGCAAAAGTTGTGCAATGGTCAATTGATACCCTGGTAGGGTAGAAGATATGAAAGGGATCCACTTAAAGAAAGAATTCCTTGGGTTAATTATCATACGATGAGAGTTATAAGGGGTCTAAGGTGTAATGGTAATGAATACTTTGTCTCAGATGTTTCACCTGCTCTTCACTTCAATGCAACATTTCAGAATCTATAAACCTGGTAGGAGACCATCAGACACCAGTCTGATCAGTCCACTAACAACTGAAAGAAAATTATCACAACCTTGTGTCAAAAAGCAAGAAACTGAAATTCTTTCACACAGCATGAAGAGAACTAATGGGCTTGCCCTGACTTGACCACCTACAAAACCCAGGATGATGTCTCACACTCTGATGACATTGTGATTGCCATTGATTGTTTTTCAGATGGCACACAGGGATATTCACAAGTGGGGAGCCAGTTCCTTCCCTGTAATTATCCATTGAATTATCACCTTTGATTTCTTATGTACATGAATCACAACAAACCTTCCACAGACCATTATTTCTATGCTTGCACACATTCTCAAATAAGAAACTAGCCAAACACTTATGCATTCATGTCAGTTGAAAAAATGTAGATGCTCAGTGATGCTCAGTCAAAAATGCTCAGTAGAGTGTTCCAAGCAATTACCATGAAGGAGAACCAAGGACTAATGAAGTCCTGGCAAAGGGACCCATCTTCATTCTCTATATCAAAAATCAAATAAAGTACCTCATGAAGCAAGTCTGACTCAGTAAAATGTTGGATTGCAGGCAGAGGAGAAGGAAATATGAGATCCAGATAGACATGACACTAGGAAGGGTTCATGGACCAATCGAGGCTGAACAGCATCCCAGTTGAGTTCCTGCCCCTATCCCAAGTCAAGGTCATTACACTGATTTTCCATGTCATCTGAACTCCAGAAACCATTCTAATACTTATGGTTCTAATGAGCAGCAGTTTTGTATGTTCTTGCCAAGAACACATGATTCATGGCTTCAGACAACTAGAAACAGGATCATGGATTCTTTGAGCCTCTGGATACAATGCAGCAGGAATCCTGAGATTTGTTTTCTCCATTTAGGGGGAACTTGCAGATGGCATCATGGGAGAAGTGATTGAGCTATAGATGCTAGCATTCCAAAGGCTTGATGACAAACTCTTCAAAATACCTTTGATGAGAACCACTGAACAAACACCAGAAATTTAAATTACCCAAAACTGGAGAAAAAAGTGGGCAGAGATGACATAAAAAGTGGTTAGTAGCCCAGGACAGTTTTGGAATGAACAGAGGAAAAAACCCCGATGGAGGAAGAAGGAAGACTTGACCTATTGGAATTCAGGTTGACCCATAGCAGTTCATGCTCCAACATCTCAAAAACCCTTCAATCATCATTTTATGGGGTGAAAGACATTCCTGGTTGGGCATTCCAATTCAAATGCTTGAATGACATATTGTTATACCACCAGGACCTTACATCTTTCCTATGTGTGTCTGGGTGGAAAAGTCAAGGGCTTTGCAGAGGATTGTATATCAACACTGGACTTCAGTTGAGATCAGAAGAAGAATCCCTACAGCCATAGTGTGAGGATCAGCAAGATGAACAAGATCCAAAAGAAGTCACCAAAGATAAGGCAGGCTACCAGGAGAAGACTGAATCTTTCTGACTGATCTTTCATACTCCACTCAAAAAATCCAAAATTTGGATGGAACATGGCTATGAAGGAAAGGTTTAAGAGACATTATATGGCAGAGCTCCAGCACAATTACTCAAATGGTTGTGAAATTTAGTTACATCCATGATGTCTGATTTGCTCATCAATTATCAAAAGAGCAATGAAATAATCTACTACCAGCCCAAGCAACGCATACATTTAAATGACGTCTATGCGACGTTACCGCAATGTCATTTAGCTCAAGTCATGTTGCAACAATGTTATATGGACGTTGTCACGTGTTGCTTGAGAGTACAACAAATGGAAATTTTACTCATGTATTGGGTTGGAAAGAAAGTCTTGCAACACAGAGAGGTAATATTTTTCTCTCCCGATATCTCTCAGGTGGGGTTTGACTCTATTGCCCCCCCCTCCCACCCCGACCCTTCAGTCAAAATCCGCCATTGCATCGATGCAAACTTTTGTGTGAAGTGCTCTATGTTTACTGATGGCCAAGGTACTTTCCGTCGCACGAACTTCAGCATATGATTTGAGAAAGCATTACATTGTAAAAGTTAGTGAAAATTCTTTTTCAATCACTGTGTAAGTTGGATTTATGCAGTCCATGTCTGGTTAAGGGAAAACTAAAGAACATGACTTTGGTTAGATATATTTTTCTATCTGGTACTCATAAGGGGCAGGCTGGGGTAGGTCTACCCATCACCAATGGCTAAATTGTTTTTTTTTTTTTAACTAAAGGGTGCATTCTGTCTATCAGTATATAATTCCTGTTAAGTAGCCCATGGAAAGGGAAGAGGCACAGGGAAAAGAGTGAGCATGAGTATTTATCCAGTTAAGTCTTGATCATAATTCAATTTTCATGAATTCAGGGGTAACTTTCGCTTTCAGTCTATGCATCCAGCTTCTGTCGAAGAAGTGGAGAAGCTGTAGAAAGATCAGAATTTTTGTTCAGGAAAAGTAACTTGAAAAGTAACTTCTACTTGTAAATAGTTACTTTTGGTGAGAAGTAATTCTACTGGTAACTAATTACTTTTTGGATGAAATACTTGTAATTGTAACTAGTTACTTTTCACAAGTAACGCGCCCAACACTGCCCATAAGGCACCGACCTTACCGATACAATTTTCATAAAACTTACACTAGAGATGTTCCCAACAGACACAAAGTTTTATCAAATATATTATTTCATAAGCGAAGCAAATATGTGATTATTAAATGGGAATGATAAATAGAAGCACAATCCGTCACTTCATTCATTTCTATCGATGCATGAACCATTGGGGAGAAAAATGGTCTTTCCCATGCTTCACCATCGGCAAAACGAGAAAATAACGCTCACCCATGTGTGGCACTTTTTCCCTGTCAATGTCCCTGGCATTTCTTGCCGAGAAAACGATACCATCGAATGGTGTGGGTGATCGACACGCATTTCGTATTACGCTTTTCCGGACGGAGTGGACATGGCGCGAAAGTAGACTGCTTAAAAGCTCTCCGACGACACTACACCGGATTAAGACGTTAGACGCGACGTTGTCCCGCGTTTTCTCCCGGTGGGATTCCTCGAGAATCCGCAGCGTCAGCCCGATCCGCTCGTGGCGCTTCGTTCCTGACGGGTCGAAGCGCATCCGACGCGTCCCGACGATGGCGAAAAATTGTTTCCTCGTGCAACAAATTAGGGAAGATGCGTGTGCCGTCCGCCCGCGTTGCTTACTTTTCTTCTTTTGATGTAATACTTCTTTCTTTTGTACGTGAGCCAAGGTGTAGGCCGGCATCTGCCCAATCGTGGTCCTTTGAGTTCAGTTCTACAGTTAATGAGGCTGTTTCCGAACAATCAGAACCGAGACAAGAAGACATCGCTCTTACGTCATCGCCCTTTCATCAGGGGAAAGTTCCAAGTCAGTGTCTATTGACAGTTATCTGTTAGTGAAAGCCACCACTCCACTCAGGGACCGATCGCCCGTAAGACCAAGACCATAAGGCTCAGGTTGCCATGCGTATTTCTGGCGAACCCGTCATCCGTGGTCGCATCAATTGCGTGAGGATTGTAGGCTGAAATAACTTTTTTAAAATCTGAATTTTGGTTCTGGCGTAACTGTTCGATGACAAGCATGACTTGTGAGCAAGATTGCTGAACATGCACTGTTTTATTCTCAAAACTACTTTAAATGGTTCCAACGCGCCACTTCGCCCATGCCACTTCCCATGCACCGATGTCACAGGCATTCAAGAAGGTGTTAAATTCAATAGAAACGAGACAGGGTGAACGCAAAGGGCGATGACTGGAAAAGCAACAGCACTGACAGTGACGTCACATTCCGTCGCGATGACGTCACATCTGCAACAGCCAATAGAAGTTCAGGAGAGGCGAACCATTCGCAGTTGACCGCAGTTCGCTTGCAGTCGGTGGGTCAATCACTCCTTGAAAAGGAATTTTGCCAAAAACAGGAGGAGTAAAGTGGCAAGACATGTCATTTAGGTCGAAACGCAGGTTTCTCCCGCCGATCTTCAACTTGAAGAACAGAGATTTTGAGCCGTTGATCAGTGGAACCCCCGACATCTCCCTGGAACAGGATTCATCATGGGAGCCATCTGCTCAGGAGGGGATACCTGGGCCTTCTAGGCCTGCTAGGTCTTGTGAGTCCTTTAGCTGATTCCAGGGTTTAGTAAAGGATAAATCACGTTATCGTGTTAATTTCCATTAGAGTTACTGTAGTTGAGTTTTTTTTTTGGTTTCGCTACTGTTTCCAGTGAACTGTCACTTTCGTCTTTGTTCGTTACAGCATTGATTCCACTTCCGTCGACCTTTTTCATGCAAGCAAAGAAACTTCCTTATTTTTAATGAATGAATAAGAGCTTCGAACAATTAAGAAAGCTATTCCGTAACGAACATCCGTTCTGAACATTTTACTTTTGGGAAGAGCTTGAATTGCTGGTTCCATGCATCTCAGCCACTGCTATAATGCAAGATAGGATTCGATTTGGAAACGAATCCAATTCCCACTCGTTCACGAATTTTGAGACCTCAGTATTCGATGACGACGAATCGTGACCAATCAGAACTGGCGAGGTTTCTAACTTGCATATCTCGCATGGCTGTCCACAAGGAAATCCGTTTTCATCTGATTCTTTGGATCTGTGAGGTTGAATTTCATTCTGGAAAACAACACCTTAACACCGACTGGTGTAGCAGGGATGGATGATGCCAATTTTAAAAAGGCTGGAGAATGAACTCCCCAAAAAAATATTAAGGAGCAAAAGTCAATCTAATTATTAACGTTTAAGTCATGTAAGCTATTTCGTTTCGAATCGAATCAGGATAGGAGCATAGTCGCATGAGCTTTGAAGAAAAGCAGACTTTAAGTGCGTCGTGCAGTGTGAAACCTGTGTGAAATGACGGCTGAAATCTGTCTGATGGCCCACATTGGTGTCAGGCTAAGCCGAGTGCGTGGAGTTGGACATAATCAGAACTTTCACCTCTCGCGCAGTTTACGTGCGATGCCGTTGCTTGGGTTCTCAAGACTTGAGATTTTTAGTGTCAAAGCGAGTTACACTCTACACTATAGCGTAGTATTGGTGGACCTTTCGCTTCCCGTGGGGAATTCGGCTGGAGTCTACATCGGATAGTATCAAGCATACATTAGCGAGAAAGCCCCACGTAAATATTGAGACGACAAAAACGCCCGCCTGCAATGTGAGATTTGTCCAACAGAACCTTTCATATGTTGAAATCAGTGAAATAGCTTTTGCTGTGGGTTGATCCGTGTATTTTAGATATTAAGTACTTGTAATGCTTTCAGTACAAGAGATCCATAAAAGACAGGGCGAGACATGTTTTACATTATGTATCGAAATCGGTCCAGTCGTTCTTGCTCTGGGTCGGTCGTCTGTTTCATCTCCAGAGAAAAGAGGGCATTTTCAATTTCAGAATTCGTGCGTAAAAATGGACATCGTTACATGGGTGTATAGGGTGAAAAGTGGGTTGGAAAGGGCCATCCTGCAATTCTTACAGCAAGGCTCTGTAATGCCTTATAATTTAAATAAGGAAGGAATGTTGCTTCCAGATATGCAAGTGTTGATCAGTTACTGGGAACCGGCTAGTATACTCGTAAGGATTTATTTCTAATACTGCTTCTCATTTTGCGCCTGAAAATGCCGGATCGTAGGTTCTGGTATCACTTGATGACAGAGAGTAGAGAAATTCCTCAGGTTACTTCATGTAATCCATACAGGCCGACTCAGCCCGTATCCCAAACCACCTCTGGACACAGGGACTCTTCAGCATCAGGATGATATCCATAAGTTCACTACACATCCAGTCCCACAAAAAGACCAGAGGTGAGTTTTCAAAACCTCATCATATGATCCAAGCTAAGGCTTTTTCCAAACCTGAATATATTGATTAGCAGCAGCAAGAAAATCGATGAAGACTTCAGTGGGTTCACGCATCAAATTGATTCCGTCAATCCCCCATCTACCCCCTTCCGGTCCCATGCTTGGTCTTTCTATCGGCCCCCAACACCAAAGTACGTGGAATTCTCGTCTGAATTCGTCCGTTTGAGGATCAAGAAATTAAGAGTCACTGAGTGATTAATGAGTTGAAAGTCACCCAGGGTGTGATGCATATTGTCATGGGTTTTCCTTAATGTTTTTTTTTTTTTTTTTGGGGGGGGGGGGGGGGGGGGAGGGAGGGGGACGGAGGGAGGGGGGGGGGGAATCCTCATAATCTTGGAGGAAACCACGTAGACATTTTTTTTTTGGGGGGGGGGGGCGGGGGAGGAAGGAAGGAGGACGGAGGGAGGAGGTGGAGGAATCCTCATAATCTTGGAGGAAACCACGTAGACTATGAGCACCCTAGTGCGATCAGGTTCAGAAGAATATTGCCATGATGCCATGAGGGTCAGGGATCAGACACATAGCATATATCTCTTCACCCGACCGCGGTATCTGGAAGGAAACTACCTCGAACCAGGGCTCATGCAAATACACAAGTCAGGTCGAGAGATGCATGCAATGGGCCAGACACCTCACCTTCATGGCAAGATTTTGCTGAATCTAACCGCACCAGGGTGTTCATCATTTGCATGGTTCTCTCCAATATATATATGATATTATGTTCCTGCTTTGAAAAAAAAAGGAGAAAATTTAAAGGATAAAGAAACAATATAAATAAACAACAATTACAGTAAAACCTGCCTTTTGCTTATATACTTGGGGCCAAATCCTGCTATAAGGTACTGGAGATTATAAGCTATGGCAGTATAAGCTATCAGAGGTTTTACTGTAATCAGGAAAATCCTTGTCATTATGCATCGCAACTGGGCGAATCTCTCAGAAAGTGACTCTAAATTGGCTTTCTTCCCCAGGCTGGTGCAGACAACACTGGAGTTCCGACCAAAGCAGCCGGAGACAAGGACCGCTGGAGGTTTGCCAGAAGGCATCACCAAGACCCCTGCTACTGTCGCCTATGTCCAGCCTCCAAGGAACAAACAAAACAAACACAGGGTCACTTTTTTATTCATCCCCTTTCTTAGAGTTCTGCAGCTCTTTCTGCATCTAATTGGGCTTCTAGTTGAACTATTTTCTTTTTCGGATGGCTACTTTCCACCTCCAGTTTGCTTCAAAAGTACAGTCATGGTCTTACCTCTCCGGTTGCATTATTTTGTTGAGAATATTGGTCAATACCACTTCCACTACAAGTATGCGCTGCCTATGTATACATAGGGAAGAAGATCAACTTATTATCAACTTGAGAACGATCATTCAGATTGATTTAAAATTCGGGATGGAAGCGTTCTCCTGCTCAGAGTAATCATAATACTCGGAGATACAAAAAAAACTCTTGATTAGAAATATGCGATTATCTTCTCTAATGACTGCAGGGGTCAAGCTTAGCAGGCTTCCAAGCAAAAGAAGAGGAGGACTTGCACAGAACTGATTCGGATGAGAACGAGAGGAGTAAAGTGCTTGAGTCCACCAATCTCCATGTTCTTGTTGCCACACCTACCAAGGTCAAGCAATGGGCCCACCTTACCAAGGAGGCCAACATTCTCTTCGAAGTTTACGGTAGGTCTGCAGTACCTCACACGGAGTACATGGGCAAATTGGAACAAAAAATAGAAAGACCCAAGGGTACGACTTTCACTTCGATTGCCTTGGGAAGCAAACAATTTTTCATGCGATTGCACAATGATAGTTCCCAAGAGATACGCATGCAAATATCATAGTATTTCCATGTGAGACCCTCTTCATAGACGATCTACAGTACAGTATATCCGTGCGACTGTTTCTAAGAAATGGAGTTCTTTATATTCACGCAGACATCCAAAAACACTGGGTGCTGCGCTCCCACGGATAATTTCCTCCCGTAAATTTGCGTTACGACCTGCAAGGCTTCGCAGCGATTTCCCCATGATTTCTTCTCCATTCGAGTCAGTAGCATGGTCTAGAAAAAGAAGTCAATTCTATGCAGCGCTGTCTAGCAGAAGCGCCTTGCATAATCTTTTTATTTAAATTAATAGTTGCCGTCATAGGCGGCGATTTGTCGAGAAATTCAGAAGGCGCAGAGACAGTACTCCTATATAAGTATTCCTTATTCTTCTGCCAAATTTGTTTGGAGGCTCGATCCCTCTGAGCCCCTTGGAATCACTGCCTATGGTTGCAGTCCTCCCGAACCCATTATGAACTACCTCATGAAACAATTGAATTGAATTGAAACCTGGCTTCTTTATAGCTGTTTTTTTTTTTTTAAATATAAGGACTAGTGTTCTCATTTTCATTGTAGATCGAACGCATGCAGCGGAGCCCTCCGTACTGCAAAAAATATTTTTTTTTTTCACCGTCAATTGCAGTACCATTATTATCGGGACGTAATGGTACACGGTAGTGGCAATGCATTCTTCTGGACGTCATTTCACTAGAAACAGTTGCATGGTATTAGTTTTATTGTGTTGAAGGGATGTTGGATTCAGTGCCAGCCGGTGGGCACAACACGTCGAAGCGATTCTTCCTGTGTGATGGTAATAAGACTCGATTGCTCTGCATCTTCTACGAAATCGACAGGCCAATGAAAAACTTCAAACTGGGAGACCATATCAGGTTAGTCAGATTGTGAGGTTTTCACTGAACTAAATTCGGGCAAATTCCAGTTCATTAACCGGTGATTCCATTCCAAGGAGGAACCACCAATCTATAGGTGCCGTCGACTCATGTGGTTCGGCATACCCTATGCAACCACGAGCACCCGTCGATTTCCATTGCTTTCAGGGTATCTGCCCGGATTTCGTCCACGCCAGAAGACTTTCCGTTTTACTAGCTAGCCATACCTATATGAATTTCATACATAAGGAGACTTCTTCGCAATTATAGGCTCCGAGTAGAGTACATCTGAGTCCGTCGAGGATGAGTTTAAGAGCTCCCATATGCACTATACTCTCAAAAGTATTCGGACACCCTTCCGAGAGTACTGAACGGTGCGAGCCGGTCGTATGCAAAGAAGGAACAGGTATAAAGGTGTGCAGGAAACAAATTCCAGTTGCCTGCTATCGTGAACTGGTCGAAAGTGTTCCACGAAGGATCACTGCAGTCATTCAGGCCAAAGGTGGGCCCACACGTTATTAATTTCCTTATTTAAAAAAAAAAAATATATATATATATATATATATATTTCTTCAACATTTCTGGCGTCCGTATACAGAGTACACTGTAGTATATGTTCCTTCCCTCTTACAAGTAACTCTATTTCGTAAGCTTCCTGTTTCGATCTTTCATGACCCGGAGAGCATGTTGCCGACCTTGCCGGAGCCTTGGAATGTGTTCGATTTGCCACAGCACATTTTTAGCAGTGTGGTAGTCATGCTCCATTTCTTCCATGCCTCTCGTTTCGCTTCGGTTACTGTTCGAGCTGCAGTTTTTCGAGCCTCTCTGTAACACGCCCGCGAAGGGTCCGACCTATAGGACCTACTAGACTGCCTTCTTGGGAGCAATGACAAGCCGTACTTCTGGCGTCCACCAGGAGGTCTGCTTGTGTTAGAGCGAGCCGCTCCGATTCACTTTTCACCACATACGTTCACTACTGCAGCCGAAACGCCAGATCGAAATAGATACCATTTGGTCTCTATATAAGAAATTTGGTGAGGCAGTAGGAGAAATTTTCGCCGATAGCCTTGCCCACTCGCCGCAAGTTTTCTCATCGCAGAGGGCTGTCCATCCTACCCGTTTCTCAACGCGTGTGGTTTTCCACCCCGTTCAGAGGTTCGGCCGTATCCAGAGTTTGCTATCCACTAGATGACATGGTGTCCAATACGTTTGCCACTCGCCAAATTTTACTTTGTATTTTACTGTCTTAACTGATGACGGTTTACAACCTCAAACCTACTTTCAAAAGTTTGCGCATTCTTTTTTTTTAATATTAATAGTGCATATATTTTGTATAATGTGGCGAATATGGTGACCGGATCGCCAAGTTTGGCGAGCATCGAAATCCTGGACACCAATGCACTAGATGGTGGTCGATGCTCAGTTCGATCCCCGCTTTACCCTTGTATCCGTTACTAATTTCCAAAATCAACCGAAACGATCAGTCGATCAGCGACTGCTGGCACACAGTACCAGTCCGACTGTCAGACCCCCTGTGCCATTTACATTTGTGGATATCCTCTTACGTTTTCGATAATAAAAAAAGGAACAGTAAGAGGGAGGCCAATTATTGGCTCCTCAAATCTGCAGATGTATCGAAAGCCATTTCAAAGCTGAAATCGTTTTCAATAGAAATTGCACCAAATCTGCTCGTTTTCAAACCAAAGTTCAATTAACTCTACGGAAAAAAAAAACTCTTCATTCGCTCAAGTCCAATGTGATCCTTAGTATAAGTACAGGGTATTGAATAGCACATTCCTTGTTGAATTGTGCATGCCTAATTAGCTTTTTCTTCCAAATTTGTATTTACTAGGTGTGTGGGGAAGCTTCAGAGTTCATACCAACTCCAATGTTTTTCCATTCGGGAATGCCGCCAAGACGAGGCAATCAACATCCCAGCAATTGTCTCACACAGTCAAAAGTGGATGAACAGCCTTGCATCTGTCATCAAGGGTGCCTAGGTCGCCAAATTTTTACCCACCATTCAAGTTCCCATTGCAAGAATCAATCAATTACACCTGAGAATGTCTGTGCTTTGTCTCAAAACGTTGAAACGTATTCATGTTTCCCTTCCATATATTGTTCATTCTCCCTCAGTGTTCCATTATCTAGACAAATAAATACTAGCAAAGAAAGGTAGTTTTTTCTTAATCCTTAATTAAAGGAATCAACCTTGGGAAACTAGAAGAGGATGAGGCAATGGGGTGCCAAGACACCATCACAAAATGAGAAAGGTTATGAAACCACCAGTGAAGTCGTTGCATAACATTGCTAACATATTTTAACTCTGGACACAAGAGCAAAGATTTTAACCCCTTCACTGGGTAGTGCTGCTTTATCCTCTTTTCAAAAACATTCTTAAAACAACAGAAGCACCTCATTACACAGACATTATGCAATAGTTGGCTCAAAAAGTGACAAAATTAGTTTATTTATCAAAGCTGTACTCATGGTTGAAAGAGTTAAAAATTCTCAGCATTGTGTGAATGTTTCCTTATAAATCATTCCCTAGTTAAGCTAGCCCATTTCACCATCCAAGCAAACATGACATGTGAACAAGTGCAAGCTAACTTATGTAACAACAGACTGTTTTGCAGTTTTGAAGTAAGCAATGCCCTGGCCAAAAGCATCCCAAGATGAATTTTTTTCTTTCCAAGGGCTTCAAAAATGGGAAATGAAGACAAAAGTTGAGGTAGTTTTTTGATAATCAGAACTCAATTGTCAACAAACAACAAACATGCACTTGAGCAAGTTCAAGGAATTGAAATTTTATATATGATAGAGATGTCTATCATTTGCCTTTTTTTTTTCTTCTTCAAATCTTCACACTTAAAGAGGGTGACATTTATGTAAGGCATATTTGTTTTCATCAGCACTGTGAACCATGGGGGAAATGAAGGAATGCCTAGATTGATGTCATATGGCTCTAGCATCCCATTTCTTCTCCTGAATTGCATAGACAGAAAGACAGAACAAAGCACATCTGGGATACATGTGCAAGTCAGACAACTAAAAGAAACATCAATACAGTCTCCTTGTCAGTATTATCAGCAAAGTATTGTTTTCTGCATAAATAATGGCAGGAAATGGAATGAGAATTCAGCTGTCATTTCCTGTGAAAGAAATGACAGCTGACTTCTTGTTCAGATGATAATAGCTGACAGTCTGAAGTCAGGTTTTTTTTTTTTACCAATTGAAGGAAAGGTGGAGTTTCTTCAACTTTCGTATTTCTTTAATAAGAAACAGAAGGAATTACTCAATGAGAACTTATTCACTGAGAAAGAGTACCTTCAAAAAATTTTTTTTTCAATTTCAATTTGTTCAGTTGACAGACACTGCTTCTTTAATTATTCAAAATCATTTTGACAAAAATACAGTTGCAGAAGTCTTGACCACCCTGAGATATCCTCACATCACATTCTTGATAAAGTACTGGCACAGTACCCTCAAAAGAATTTTCCATCACATCCATTACTGCCTGATAATAATAATCAGCGGTAGGATGTGTCACGACTTTTGTAGATGATGCCTCTGCTTCGTAGCTCCTGGATGATCCCAGATGGCAGTCGACCCGAAACTGAAATGGCATACACTCCTGGCACATAGCGATCTGCAAAACATCAAGCGTGTTTCGTTACTGATGATGTTTAGAGCAGCATAGTATTTACTTCAAGTAGCTATACTTATAACTTATAACTCTAGAGAGTAACCTGTGTTGGTAAATAACCATCACACAGTGGTGACAACTGGCTTACTCAGCTTACCCAAAGTAATTGATAGTATACAAAGATATGCAACAATTACAGATCAAAAAGAGTTTAAAAAGGAGATAGTATTAGTCCAACTCCGTTCATGAACCTTGCACCTGCTTGAAAAACTGCAAATTCATTCATCATGATCTTCTTTTGCATAAATGACTAATCTAATCTGGCATTTAACATTCCCCTAAAGAATTAATTTCAAGCCACTACCAATGCTAGAAACAGATAGATCCTAGAAAAGACACTGATTGTCAACATAGAGGCAATGAAGAAGTTTAAAATTTAAAGAAGAGATAACACTTAGGCAATAATAAGACCAGCATCACCAAAACCTTAATTTTTAATGAGAAAATCAAATCACTACTGGCCCATAGCTTTCAAGCACTCAAATTTTTCAACTGTAAGTTATCTCTAAGATGGACAAAATAAAGGCAACATTCCCAAGAAAATAGGGCAGCACTAGCAAAATAAGCTACCAACATTCATATCCCATTAATCATATTAATATGAGATGGTGATAAGATAGTTCTGGCATATAAACTGTATTCATTTGTAAAAATTGATTAAGAATGGCTTGAGTGAGAGAAACATCATCTTTTTGTCTAAAGTCATGATTAATGGTTCTGCTTTAGCATCAGAACTATGGAAGAGGCCTGATAAAACATACCAAAAAAGTTTGATGAGTTCATTTTTTCTTTCAGCTTAAAATCTTTCACAACTGACAAAAACAAACAAGCAAACAAACAGAACAAAAACAAATGCCAAACAAGAAAGCCCACAATTTGGCTTAGGGACGTTCATTTAAACTGAAAAGGTGCTCAATGTGCCCTCCCTTCTGTTAAACATTAGCCTCTAGTCTATGACACCACAGATCAATGGCTTGGTCAATAAACCTTTGAGGACATGACTCCCAGTCTTCCTTTGTAGCATCATGCAGGGATGGAAGTTCATGAATTTGAGCCTCCCTTTCATCCCAGCCTCAAGTTCATATCGATATTTTTGACAGCACATTTTGAGGGTGGTCATCAGAAAATAATTACAGCTCTTACAATGTTAAGAGCCAGAAAGCTGAAATTTGGTATACAAACTCCAATTGTGTCTATAATAATATATCTATAATCTATAAGTACAATCTATAAGTCTACCACTTTTAATTAAAATCAGCAGCCTACAAAGAGATTGAAAACTCACCAAAATAAATTTGACTTCAAATTCACAGAGCTTTATGAAGTTGATTGAAGCACAGATCTTTTTCTTTCACAAAAGTAATTTTTTTATTATAAATGTTTCACTCTTTGCACTCTCATTAATGCAGGTGTCATGCTAAGGGCAGATGAAACTTAGTCAAAAGACTTTGCTCATCACCAACATACTAAGAGTTGCATATATATGCAGTGAGTAACTGGAAAGGTGTAAAAACTAGAAAAGTAGTCCTCCAACTTTCCTTGGTTTCAAGGTATTCACATCAATTCACCTTGTATCAAGAACTACTTTGTCCTGACTTTTTTTTGAAGCTAAGATTTAAAAAAAATGGTCTGATGTACATTCATAAATGAAATCTTATTGTATTCAGGAGTTTGAGTTTTTAAATTCATCTTTGTTTCTATTATCAAATTCTTATGTCTTCAATTAGATGAAGGAGGGTTCTGGACTCACTGATTCTCTGCCACTTGCAGGCCCAGCTGTCCCGAGGACTGCAAGCTGCAACCATCCTACAAATAGAAAATGATAGAAAGGATGAATTCACATAAAAGAGAGAGTCTCGATACTGCATAAAAGAGATGCAATGCATATGATATGATAAAATGTAACAATGAAAAAGAGACTCTAAGCCCATGAAACCACCTTCACTCTGGAAGCTATATTTCCCATCTAAAATCCAAGTAACCTCTAATCTCAGTACTCAATTTTTCCCTAGTGTAGGGTAACCCTTTGGTCAGCCTTCACCAATGAGGTTCTTTTTAATACCCCAATCAATTCTGGAGATGGGAGTCCTTTGTGCTCAGGAGTCACCCTTCCCAAATGCATATGGGCAGACTTAGTTGGTTATATTCATAGATGCTACAGGAATACTAGGTTGCTGAACCAGCAGTAACAGACACTGGCTGGGATGACTACCAATATCCTGAAGACGAGATGTTGTAGGTGAAGATGATTTACATGAACACATATGCCAAGCTCTTATTTCTTCATCTTTAACAAATAATTTCATCAAAATATGCAAGAACATCATCAGCAACATTTCATTGGAATATCAGATATATCTACTAAATGCAAGACACCAGAATATTGGGAAGAACTAGTTACAATGCCATATCTACAAACTAGATACAATATTCATGCTCAAAACCAAAAACAAGGAAGACTGGTACTGGTAGGATGGCTAAGCATAAGAGTACAAAAAGCTCTTCAGCTCACCCATCAAAACTAGAGCTGGTGCAGTCATACACATTTTCTCGATTGTGCTTGAGATGCAGAAACTGATCACAGTTGTCGCATCCATCCATTTCAAACTGCTCCAAGGTCTGGAAGTAAATAAAGATCATGAAAATTTAAAAAGCTTATGAAAGGAACTGCAACTCAAATTGGACATCCAAAGGAATTTTTTAACTGAGATTGTATTGCATTTTTTATAAGATTTTGAGGCATCTAAGCTTGATATCTACATGAGAGGTAGTCAATAATCCTTCTGAAAGCTACCAATCAGAAAATTTTACTTAAAGTGATGAATGTGTAGTATTGGTAGGTCAATTCCTACTATATAATCAGATTGACATCAGACAGAAATTTGGTTCAGACTTTGTAGGTGTACCCCCACAGGCCTTCATAAAGTCCTTTGTGGGTTGGTATATTTCATATCTGCTGGCTTAGGATGATTGAAAAGAAGCAAGAACTCATACAAATTGCTAAAAATGTGCCAAGGCTACCGAAACACAAAAGCAGACCTAGCATTAGTAGGTTTCTAGCCGAATGTTAATAATGGAGTAGGCCCATCATAGGCCAACCCTACCTTGATAAGGGAGCAAAGAAGGCATGCCCGCAAATTCCGGAGATCTTTGGGAACGGTTTCTATGGACATGGCGATAAGTCTATTGTCTTCTCACCCTCGAAATAATGGGTTGACGATTTCTGCAAACAAACCAAGAGGGAAAAACTAAATTAGTGAGCTTGGCAGATCAGCATCTAAAAAAAACTATGTGGTGGAAGCGGGTGTGCTCTGTTACATTGCATTAGTATTTATAAATAAGTCCTCAATACGCCAATAATAACTACGACGTGAACGCCACTTGTTACACAGTTAGAGCCTAGCCTATGAAAAAAGCGTGTTCTTTGAGTGGAGTATGTAGGCAAACTTCGAACCTATGAACCACACGAGCATTCCGCCATGACTACCCGGCGACCGATGTAATACCTACATATGCCAACAGATGGCAGAATTGTACAGAAGGCTGTACACTCTTGAAGGCAAGCGAGCCCCTCACTCCAGTGTCTTCCTCCGGTGCGAGTAAAGAATGAGGAAAATTATTCTTAAGAATGTTTATTTTTGCTTTCCCAAATGAAAAAAGGAAAGGAAAACGAGCAAAACTAGAGTGAAATAGGAATTCGAGCTCGTCTCCTTTAAGTGTGTGGAACTACATTTGGAATCGAATCCAAAAACAAGAACGTCTGCATGGAAAACAGAGATGAATGCGAATCGAACTTATCGAATCAACCTACGTATGGGTCGACATGATCCATCAGTAGCTATAATTGCTTGTTTCGGCCGATGCGTTCGGCTCCTCTTTCATTTGATATGGGGGGGGAAAGAAGAAATGTTAGGAATGTAATATGGTTATTCAATTATATGATTGAATTTTTGGCAATGACTGAATTACTTACTGGACACGTGGAGCTTGCTATTAATCAAACAAGCTCCACGTGTCCAGCATTTCGAGCCAATCAAACTTTTGTGTCGAAGGATTCGTGATCATACAAGTGCAATTGTTGGTTGTGATGGACGAGATGACATTTGAAATGTTTTATGTTTTCACAGATATGAGGAATTTAATTCCTGGAGCAATTGTCTTATAGTAAGGCCCACGGAAAGGGTTGTCATGTCTTGGTAATTGATAAAAATTCAAACATGCAAAAAATTACCATATTACATTCATTTCAGTTTTGTTTTCTGGACCATCCTGTATATACCGCATCATATTCGACTTGGCCAGTCCGGCTGCGTCTTTTTTTATTTTTCTCCGTCATATGCGCATGTAATTTGAAACTGGAAGAGGACTGATTAGATTATGGGGGATATACAGGATGTCCCAGAATTCCTGTCACATTTTTATTTATTCATATATTTATCTTAGCAAAAGTTTTTCTCAATTGGTTTACGATGTTCAGACTTTTTTTTTTCTTTCAATGGGTAATTTGAAACCCTGTCTGCTGTTGTGAGGAGTACCCTTCAGCCTATACCTAGGCTTTTGTTAAGATATAGGTTAAATAAAAAGAAAATAAAGAAATATGAAAATCGGACAGGAATTCCGGGACACCCTGCATATACACCGCTATGGCGCCTGCCCCTGGTTTTCCTCAAAAGCCGTTAGGATCGCTGGCTGCTCGCGGGCAGACGTCTCGACTTGGGCAGGTATAAAGCGTTGGCTCTGAGTGGCTAGCCTTCTTCCTTGATCATCATTGCTTCCGTTTTCGATGGAGGGTGGGGGGGGTCTGTTGGGAGCCTTCTTGCATTCTCACCGTTGACAGCTTTCATTTCCTGTATTCCTCTGATTTTCCTTTAGAAGTTTCGTTTGAGGCGATGCGAGGCGCGCCTTGATTTTTGCGGTATATCCACGCAGACGAAGAGAGGCCCAATCCTGGGCCCAATCTGTAACATGGTATCTCTCCTCTCCTCTTCGGACCGGTTCTTCCTCTGCGCAGAGCGCATCGTGGAATGGATTTGCACACAATGCGAGGATTCATTCCGTGAAAAACTATGTTGTCACATTCCCGTTGCCCAAGAGGAGATCGCAGGGGGAGGTAATGCTCCTCGTTTCGGGACGTGCAGCCGGGCGTATGGGCGTGGAAGCGTATCACGTGCGGATGCTCTATTGATTATCTCATTCGCCTGACCTTGTCCTCTTTATCCAGTCATGGCTGCTTCCATGGAGTGAGTGCCTCTCTTATGTCCACAAGAGAATTTCGTCTCTTCTCTGTTTGTTCTCGCCTCGCCTCTATCCCCCACCCCAAGGTGATCTCGTTCTCCGTCGCTCTCTGGAGCGATGTTTTGCCTCGTGGGTGTGGCAAGTGCCTTTCTGAGCCCTGTCCTCTCCATCCCAGAGAACCCCGATGAACTCGGTCCCGGCTGGGTCCAGAGAGCCCTCCGCTGCGGGAGGGTGAAGAGCGTGGAAGTGGAGAAAGGCTCGAGGATCGGGGACGGATTCCTCAGCGATATGACTCGGGTGCACGCTCGACTCTGGGATGGGTCAACGGTGAAGTTCATCGTGAAGGCCATGCCGCGGAATCCCTTCTTTATGGAGTTTGCACTTGTCTCCGCCTCTCTCGACAAGGAATACGACTTTTACACTCGAATGGTACCAGAGTTCCGGAAGTTGGGTGCCGAAGTCGGCGTGGAAGTTCCCGTTCCAAATCTTCTGTTCGCGTTTCGATATTCCAAGAGCAGAATGATGCTGGGGATGGAAGATGTGTGCGTTCGGGGGTACAGAATGCCTGATAAAATTCGAGGACTGAATTTGGAAGAATGCCGAGCGACTTTTAAGGCTCTGGCGGATTTCCATGCTCTCGGATTCGCCCATAAACAACAGTTATCCCGAATGGGAACGTCTTATTTGGAGGAATATCCGTGCTTGAAGGTCACTCACGTCACGGTGTCACACCACTATCGTCGCGATATGTGGGGAGGGTCACTGGAGACCCTGGCATCGATGGCCGAGAAACAAGGCGGGGATTATACAGAAAAAGCAGAAAGACTTCGGAAGTACGCCTTCGGAGCCAAGGAGCGGATCATGTACCAGAAGCTGCCCCGAGAGCCGATGTCCATGCTAAAACACGTGGATTTATTTTGCAACAACGTCATGCTTCGAGACGAGGACTCGTCCGCGCTATTGCTGGATTTCCAGGCCTTGGAATACGGGTCGGCGTCTTTCGACCTCGTCTATTTTTTCCTCACCAGCACGACCCTCGACCTACGACGGGAGCACGAGGAGGAGCTGCTACTTTACTACTACGAGAGATTCTCGAGCTCGTGTTCCAAACTGGGTCTCGATCTCGTGAAGGACTTCGGATATGACTTTCAGGCGTTTCGTCGAAACTACCTGGAAGAATGGAGCGCAGGGTTCATGACCTCCGCCTGGGTTCTCCCCATCAAGTTGAATTACACGGCCGAGATGGAAGCCAAGAAACCGTCGGACTTCCAGCAAATCAGCCGGGACTGCATCAAGGATAACTCGATCGTCACGCAACGGATCCTCGGGTTAATCGACGACGCCATTGACAAGGGAATCCTCTGAGGTAGCTTCGTCTCGCGATGGGTCGCTTTTCTTACTATTGGGGCCAACATTCACTTTCTTCCGTCGTTCTGACAAACCAATTCAGACGTAGTGCAGTTCATTCTTACGTGTGACTTTTGAGGAAAAATATTTTTCAGATTTTATCTACTGGAATAAAGATCGTTATTTCATCACAGTCATGGATAGTCAATTGAAGTTACGGTAATCCCAATCTGCTTCGTGCTTCTGTAAGAGCATTTACATATTTTCGAGTTAATTTTATTATGAATTTGTCATCAGAATTTTTATCTAATACCGAATGAACTGCACTCACAAACACTCACGTAGACGTTCGTATTCAGACATGGTTGCAATTGCGAGTCACTTCTTATTCCAAGAAAGCATCCCTGCAGCTCACCAACAATTGACGAAGTGGGGCGTGCTTCCAATAGAGACAATGGGATACGAGGCGAACAAGATGCACCAGATAAGCTTTTGGATAAGGTGCCTTATTCGCTCTCTGGTACCGATTAACCGCAGCGACAATATCTTTGACAATGCCATCTATGATCTATGACAATGCCATCTATGACAATATCTTTGACAATGCCATCTATGATCTATGACAATGCCATCTATGACAATATCTTTGACAATGCCATCTATCAAAAGTTTGTGAAATAAGCCAGCCTTTGATTTGGGGTAAAGAGGGAGAGTAAGAGTCGAGCAAATTAATTATTTGTTAATCAGAGATCGAGAGATTGTGGAGCACTCCTCGAGCTCCGCAAGGGATGACGTAACAATTACAGAAGGAGGAACCTCCTCCCTCCTACGCTCACGCAAGAGCCTACACCCCACTTTCCCTGGGCACTCCTTCGACAGTGAGTCATCGAGAAACATTGGATGTGAACGGACGGCGTGTGTGAACTCGTGTGCGAGCCAGCACGCAACCGCCGGACAGATCTGTGCGTGCTATTGAGGAACATTGGTGACGGTGGTTCCCCACCGGACGACTACGAGAACGACCCTAAGGTCTCCAATCAGCGTGAGGTTATTCATTATCACTGACCTCATCCACTTATCTTTGCTATATTATATAAAAAATAAACTGCGCTCAGTGTCTAACTACGCACCATTTATATCCACCTGGAGTCCCAAGTAATTCAAAGGAGTCCTTGGGAGTCAGTCACAGATAGACGGGTACTCCTTTGCCGATTTACAGATGTCTCTCTTACGAACCTCTCCGAACATCGCAACCTTTGCTGATTACCTTCTGATTATCCTAGCACCCTGGGCACGGACCTCCCTGTGGCCACACCAACCTACGTTGAGGCCCCGACCTACGCTCCACCCTAAAAGTTTTACTCTCCCTTGGGGTCGATCGCCGCCGACAAAATGCAATTCTGTGGCACTCGTGAGCCTGCATCTATCTGATTGGAAAGAAAGTTCTCGGAATTTCTTGAATATCCAGTACAATTTTTTTCCAGAGCATGCTAGAATGTTCTGCGTGTGTTTATAAGTAGGTCGTGTCCTTCGGCATACAACCGTATATTATTACAGCCCTGGTGCTCTCCAGCCATGAACCAGCCCTACCCTCTTACTAAGGAGCAAGTTCGCCTGCTTCTTNATTTCCAGGCCTTGGAATACGGGT